ATGCTTTAGGGATTCCAACCCACAGAGACTACACGGGTGTCCAGGCCCTGAGGCTCAAAGATTTTCAATGAGCGCGAGCAGGGGTTCGAGGAGGCAACGAGGTCTTCGCTACGATGCTCACGACCCGCTGCTTGCAGTCGCGTCCTCCGACCCAGCGAAAGCCAGTGAATAGCCCCGCGGGCCACAGGCACCCCACCAATTTCCAAGGGGCCCTGGCCCGGCCTTCCGGGTGGACCCCGACTTCTGCTGATTGGCTGGAGGGTGCCGCCACGTGATCCAGAAACGGTTCCGCCACTGCTTCCCCTGCCTTTCCCTCCCCTCCCCACCCAGAAGTCGCCAGAGGCTTGAGCGCGTTTCCTGAGCAACCAATAGGTTGAGTGTACACAGCAGGCGGGGGGCTAGAGAGGGTGTCCTGGCTGCTGCTGCTGCAAGACAAGGACTGAGAGGTTGGAGGGGACTCGGCAGTCTTTACTGGCTCAGAATCCGTCTTCTCGCTGGGACTTGGTGAGTGTCTGTCACACGTAGTAGTCCGACCCTTGGTGTTCAGGCTCCCCTCTTGTCTGTCTCCAGCCACATTAGGAGTAAGACAGGAGAGAAGCAACATGGAAGCCAAGGGATCTAGGAATGGTGCAATAGGGATAATCATGAGACGGTGACATGGCTTCTTTATCTGAGGCCATCAGGGACCAGAGCAAAGCTTACTGGTGAGGGAGGGAGGGCAGCCCAGAGCCACTTGCACATCCCTTTCTGTGCCTGCTGAGAAGCTGGGCAGGGAGAAACCTCCTGGATAACTGCTCCCCTCCAGCCACAAGGGCATCTGCCCATCGGAGGTAATGGATGGATTCTGACCACTTTGTACCCATGGGAGGAAAAATTTGCTCATACAGGGCTTCTAGTTTGTAGAAAATAAATTTGATTCTCTCAGAATGACCCTCTACCTAGCGCTCATGGCAAACAGAATATGGTCCTTTACACTCTGTTATTATACTCTGATTGGTCATGTACAGCAAGTATTTAATTTATTCCATAAAGGACCCTATGGTATGACAATTAACTCAAACTATTCAACAAACTGTTATCAAACACCATGTGTGTGCCAGGCACTGTGATAAGTTCATGGTCTCTGCCTTCGATGAACATGTAACCTTGTAGGGAGGAAGGACCTACAAGCATCACAATACAGTGAGGCAGGTTCCATACATAGGGCATATACGCATGCAGGCCTTAAATGGAGTCACAAGGAAGAGAGTGATTATAATACTACCAGACCGAAAATCTTCACATAGAAAATTCTCAATTTAAATCTTTAAGGATGTATGGAGTATGCCATTAAGTCAAGGGAAACGACATTTCAGGTTAGGAAAAACAGCATATGCAATAGTATAAAACTATCCCAGCCTGCTCAGAAATATAATTATGGCCAAAGCCTGGGGTGGTCTAGGGCTGTGGTCAGCAAACTGCGGCTTGCAAGCCACATGCGGCTCTTTGGCCCCTTGAGTATGTCTCTTCCACAAAATACCACAGCCTGGGCCAATCTATTTTTGAAGAAGTGGCATTAGAAGAAGTTTAAATTTTAAAAAATTTGGCTCTCAAAAGAAATTTCAATAGTTGTACTGTTGATATTTGGCTCTGTGGCCTAATGAGTTTGCCCACCACTGGGAGTTTGTGACTGATGAGCTTGAGAGGTAGGCACAGAGACCATGAATACCTTCCAAGGGGACTAGTGTGAACAAATGTACCTTTCAGGAAGCTGGCTGTCCCAGTAGAGGATGGATTGGAGGGAAGTGGGACTATAGGGAGGGCCTCCAGCTAAGGTGAAATGATGAGGGCCTGAACCAAGGAAGAGGCGATTGGAATGGAGAGGAGGAAAACATTTGATAGACAATTTAAGAGGTCTGTGCAGAAGGATTTTCATGTGTGAGTGAATGTGAGGGAAAAGGAAAAGAGTGGTTGAGGGAACTCCCAGGTTTCTGACTTGGATGGATAGAAGGATGGTGTTATTTGATAAGAGAAGGCACACGTTAGGAGAAGCAGGCTGGCTGGAGAATATAATGAGCTCAGTTTTGAGCATGCTGAATTCGAGTTGTGTGTGACACATTCAGTTGGCCTTTTCCACGTGGGTAATTGGATTTGTTGCACAGGGAAGAGGGAGATACAGATTAGCAATTTTTCACCAAGAAGGAAACAATTGCTCAGAAAAGTAGGTTTGAAATAACAAGTAGAGAGAAGCCCAGGAGAAAAAGTCACAGCGAAGAGGACAACTTAAAGAAGAGAGTCATCAGAATTGTCAAATGCCATGTCAAAGTCAAGTTGAAAGCTGAAACATGCCCAGTGTCTTTGTCAATTAGATTATTGTTGTTCTTTTTTAAAATATATTTTATTGATTTTTTACAGAGAGGAAGGAAGAGAGATAGAGAGCTAGAAACATCAATGAGAGAGAAACATCGACCAGCTGCCAAACGTACATGCCCTTGACCGGAATCGAACCTGGGGCCTTTCAGTCTGCAGAACGACACTCTACCGCTGAGCCAAACCGGTTTCAGCTATTGTTGTTCTTGATCAAAGAAACTATAAGGCCTAAGATGCTCCCAATCAGATTGCATTGAGCTAAGAACTGAATAGAGATAATGGAGTATTGTTAATGACTAGAAGTTTTTCCTGTGAAGGTATCTAAAACCAGCTATTCTTAGAAGGCAGGGGGATTTTTTAAAAAGTTAGCAACCACCTAACATTCACATATTGAAGAGAAAAGAGATGCTAGAAAGGAAAAGATGAGAACACGTGAGAAAAAGGAAATGCTGACAGAACAATAGTCTGAAAGAGACTCAAAAGGATGGAATCAGTACACAGGAAGAGAGATTCATTTTGGACAAAGAAGAGAATACTTTTACTAAGACAGGAGTCAGGAAGAGAAAGAAATACATGTTTAGGAGGAGATGGAATTTAGAATGCTTGTTATGATGGCATCACTATTCTCTGGGACAAGGTTATCTCCTGGAAAAGAGAATTTGAGAAGCGTGGTGGAAGTTTAGCCTAGTCTCTAAGTCATGAGTCTCAGATCTGTAGCTCAGGTCCTGCTCTCCTTGGGAAAGGAAGCTGAGGAGGAAAATATAAAATAACTGTTGTTGAAGATCCAGCGGAAGTTAGAGGCATGCATTTGTAGTAACTTTGATTCCGCGCTGGTTATGTGAAATCTTCCTGCAGCATTCCAGAGCAGAAGAGAGAGGTGATGGAGTAAGTCAGAGATTTGAGATTTGAAGGGTGAAAGCTGCAGAAGCTCATAGTGGTTCCAGATCCCCTGGAGGGACCAGAGAAGACCTGTGGGCCTTCGGATGAGCAGGTCCTGAGGAGAGCTTTCCCAAAGTGAGGTGAGTGAGCACCAGCTGGCCACAGAATACGTGTCCAGGTGGAATCAGAAGCTTTAGCTGGAAGCCTGGAGCCTTCTTGTGACTAGAAAAAGTATACAAAGCTTGTAAGTACCAGAAAGGTCCAGGGTTCTCATAATTCATATTTAATTATGAAAATTGTCTCCTGGAAATTTGGCATTTTAAAATTATTTTTTGCTAATTAACTCTGAATTACAATATATATATATATATATATATATATATATATATATATATATATATATAAATATTCTAAATGAGGGTGTTGATGAAGGGAAAATAAGGTGAATACCAGGTTAAATTAGTATCCCAAATATGTATATTTTTCTCTATCAAGAAAAAGTCTTCTTAAATGGAGAGCTCTGCCTTGTTCTCATGAAAAACTCAAACTATAAAGATGGAAATTCTTCCTAAATTAATTTTTACAATGGAGTCTCAAAATTCCATGCGAAATTTTAAAAACCAAATACAAAATAATCATACATTTCATTTGGAAAAATAAATATTAAATAATAACCAGGATTTTTCCAAAATAGACTATGATATGGGAATTCACAATATAAATCATAGTGCTTAAAACAGGATAATACAATAGAAATAGACAGAGCTGAAAGCATAGATTGAAAAGTCCAACATTAGACTCAGTACATGTAATAATTTAGTGAAAAACAAAGGGAACAGTTAATGTCTTCTGAAAAAGCAGTCTTGGACATACACTATATATTTTGGTGACTGTGGGGGTAAATTGTATTAAATCTATTTAGTTATTAATTAATTCATATAATCTAAAATGAAGAAGTTGGCTAATTCATTTTAATCAACATATATTAACATGCCAGATATGTCACTAAGCCCATGAATTCTTTTCTTTGCTCTGTAAGTACACTTAGGAAACTAAAAGACATGAACTGGAGGCAGGGTAAGGGTGTAGATGAGAGATAACTATTGTCTTTAGGTGGTAAAATAGGCTCATACTGGGGAAGAAAATTATACTTGTTTTATATGAACCCAGAAGGTAAAATGGCAACAAATAGCAAGAAGCTATGAAGAGACAGTTAAATTCAGAATAAAAAATAACTTTCTAGCAGAAAACTTTATAGATGCAATGGACTGTCTTGGGGCCCAGGCACATACTTGGTAATGTACTGTGTGAAGATTTCAAGCCATAGGAGGGCAGTTGCACCGAAGTAGGTTTAAAAGCCCCTTCAGTATGGAATGGTATCACACTAATGTTTGATTTTTTATTTTCTTTAACAGATAACATATTATCACCATTATTTTTAATGGAAGATGATTGAATGTGAAAATATAAACCAAGAAGAAATAATTAAAGAGCTGGTGAGTTAGGGCCAAATTTATTTCCAATCACATCTGCAAGAATATTAAATAGAATATTTTACACTACTTTCTGAAGTTTACCTTGAGATTTCTTCTACAGCGTGACCTTTGGAATCCGAGAAAAATTATACATATGGTACAACATTCCTCCTTGTGAGAGTAAAACATGGCATCAGTGCAATTGACAGTTTACAATTTTTATGGCAAAAACACATTTTTATTATTTTAAATAGGTTATAACCTAGTTTCTTTTTTGAAAACAGTGTTTATGCAATGGTTTATCTTATGAGATGGTTGTACAAGAAGGATCAGATACTTCAAAACTGGAGATGTTTTTCTCAGGGTATCCCTGTATAGTCGGATTATCATTATTTCCTAATTTAACAAGTCTCACAATCATTGCTCAAGATATAAAAGAAATTTCAGGATTAGAGACTTGTTTACAACTCAAAGAACTTTGGATTGCTGAGTGCTACTTAGAGGTAAGTCTAAACATATAACTTTCTATGAAATATTTTATATTGAATTCTATGGTTTTGGAAAATAATTCATTGAAATATATGCTTGAGATATGGATCAAAACAGATAAGTGAGGGGGGAAAAGAGACCATACATGATGAATTGCAATAATACCCTTTATCCAGTAAAAGAAAACAAAACACAAAACAGATAAATGAGCAAAAGATATAAATAGATTTACACATAGGAAAACTAGAAATAAAGAATTAAAATATAGACTACTTTTAAATAAATAATTAAAATATATCTACTTTTTAGTAATTAAATCAGACCAAATAATACCCAATATTGCTTAGGAATGAAATCAGTTCACTTAGATACTCTTGGTTGTATGAAAATTATAACATTTATATTGAAAAGCAAAATTGCAAAATGTGTAAAGAGCCAAAGAAAAGTATATACTATTTGACTCGGAAATCCCTATTCTAAGATTTTGTCCTGGAGAAGTAGTTCAGCAGCAGAAAACAACTGTATTCATGAAGTTTTTTATTGCAGTATTATTTATAATAAAAATTTGAAATATAAATATGCCACATATAGGGTTACTTTAAAGAAAATGATTATAAACTTCCTGAAATATTTTGTAATTATTAAATATTTTCATATTTGAAAATTATTAAATATTTGACAATTATGGAAACATTTTAGATAGTCTTAAATTTAAAAAACACTAATCTGTAGAGTTGTTAAGATTATAACCATATAAAATTAGGTGCATAGTTGACTTAAATAAAAAAAGAATATAAAATTGAAAATAGTTGTATATAGGTGCAAAGGTTATATGTTTTTCCTTTAAAAAACTTAGTCCTGGCCGGAGTGACTCAGTTGGTTGGAGCATTGTCCTCTACACCAAAATGTCATGGGTTCAATTCCAGACAGGGCACATACCCGGGATGTGGGTTCAATTGGGTTGTGTTGGGGAGGCAACCAATTTATGTTTTTTTCTCTCTCTCCCCCCTTCTAAAAAAAAAAAAAATCACCAAAGTCCTTGGGTGAGGATTTAAAAAATTTAGTTTATTTTGTAATAAAATTTGACTTTTAAAAGAAAATGTACTTAATATCTACTTTATTATAAGGATTATGGTAAAATATAAGCTAACACTGATCTTTTTTTAAAAAAACAGAAAATTGGAGGTCTTCGAGAATGTAAAAAATTAGAAAAACTATATTTATATTATAATAAAATTTCTAAAATAGAAGGTTTAGAGAAATTATTGAAACTGGAGGTTCTTTGGCTGAACCACAATACAATTAAAAATATTGAGGTAAGATAATTTTGCTATATGTAAAGTTAATTACTACTATGGAGTTTAAACTAGAATGTCCAAAATCTTATGCTTAAGAACCAAAATACTCATGATTAGTTTGTTATTGTTAAGAAAAACTAACAAAGAGAACTTCATCTACATTATTTTCTTTACTCCTCCCACAAAACCTGAGAGGTAAAGTGTTATTTCCTCTTTGGAGATTTAAAAAAAAAAAAAGAGATTTAAAGAAGTTTATATATCATTTGACTAAGATTATAAGCACACTTTTCCCTATTCCCCCTTCCTCTTCCTCATTTCCTCTCCATTTTCTTGTTCCCTTCTCCTCCAGTAACTCTCTCCAGGTGCCAGAGAAACAAAGATGGCTTCCTTGAGGCTCCCACTTACTTCTGTGGTCAATGCTCAGAGCACCTGGAGAACTAACCAGATTGATCAGATGGTTTATAAGTATAGGTTTTATTGATTTCTCCTAAATTATATATTGTCTAAATTTTTAGGGATTGCAAACTTTGAAGAACTTAAATGATCTCAACCTTGCTGGAAATCTAATAAGCAGCATTGGTATGTACTGTTTCATTTGGAATGTAAGGTAATCTATATATACATATAAAAGCCTAAGTGACAGTCCGACCATCCGACCAGTAGCTATGACGTGCACTGACCACCAGGGGGAAGACACTCAACACAGAAACTGCCGAGCTGCCGTGACTTGGCAGCTGTGGTTCTCGGGTAACACCCCTGGAACCAGAGAGGAGGGAGCCCAATTCTAGGGTGCAGCACCCTAGAACCACCCTCTCATAATCCAGGACCCCTTGGGGGATGTCAGAGAGCTAGTTTTGGTCTGATCCCCACAGGCCAGGCTGAGGGACCCCGCTGGTGCATGAACCCATGCACTGGGCCTCTAGTGCTACAATAATATTTTATCAGTATAAAAAGTACATTTCTTTTTTTTAGACCTTTTTGTATGACATCTTTGCAAAGCATTTCCGAATCTATGATTCTAAATCAGAGGTTACTAATTATACAGTGTTGTTGTTTGTCTTGTTTACCTGCACAAGATGACGCCCATATTCAATTCAGAAATATGACAGGATATGAACAGGAGGTAAAACAAGAAATTAAATTTTCTTTCATCTTGTTTTTTGAAATTAAAGGTCGATGTCTTGATCCCAATGAACAACTGGAAAAATTAAACCTTTCTGGTAACCAAATATGTTCTTTCAAGGTATGTTTAAGTAGAATGAATTTTATTTACCAACCTACATCATGAACCATCTTATTGCAGAAAATGGACTAAATATCCAGCCCCCTTTAAAGAAATAACTTGTTCCTGTTGGACTATCCAAAACTCCTGGGAATTTTAGAGTTAGCTGACTAAACTGACCCTAATGATCTGGCACTATTAAAACCAAATAAGGTACTAATTTCTCTTAGTTTCCCCCTGGTCTTTCTAACTATACCTCTTCTGACTATTCATCCTTTCATAACATCTAAAAAATGGACTGCCCAGGTCAGTCCCAGGGTCTTTTCTTATTTCTATCTGCATTCTGTAAATATTTATATTCTGTAAATAATCTCATCATGTCTAAGACTAAATACCTTTTATCCACTATGCCTCCTAGATTGGTATCTCTACTTTCCCTCACAGCTACTGATGCATGAATCCATGCACCGGGCCTGTAGTGCTACAATAATATTTTATCAGTATAAAAAGTACATTTCTTTTTATCCGTATAAAAAGTACAATTACCTATTTAAACTATAGATGTCGCCTGTGCTGACTCAGACTGATTTCCCCTACACCGAACCTTCTTCCCCTGCAGCCTTCTCTGCCTCTCTAAAGAGATCTTCATTCTTCTAGTAACATAAGCCAAATACCGTCCTTTTGACTCCCCCATTCCTTTAACTCCATTCAATCCATCAGCAAATTCTGTTGGCTCCACCTTCAGAATATGTCCAGAGTCTGCCCATTTTTTTGCCACCTGTATCACTACTGCCCTGGTTTAAGACACCATCAAATCTAACATTCATTATGGGGGGGGGGAGCCTCCTAACAGGTCTCTCTGTGTTGAACTTTTTGCTATGATGTGTATTCTCCCCACAGCCTTCCATTCCTTTAAAACTATGTCAGATCAAATGACTCTTCTGCTCAAAACCCTCCCCTGACTTCTCTCATCTCTTTCAGAGTAAAAGCCATTAATCAGTGATTACAATGGCCCACAAGACATTAAATTATCTACCGGTAGTTCCTTAACTGTCTCTCTGACCACTCTCCCCTTTGCTTACCCCTCTCCAGCCATTCGTATCTCCTCACTGTTTTTTGCACATACTCACCTTAGGGCCTTAGCGATTGCTGGGATAGCCTTCCCATATGTTTTCATTGCTCATTTCCTCACTTATTCCAGGACTTTGGTCAAACATTATATTCTTCATGATGCCTTTCCTGCACAATTTAGGTAAAAGAGCAATAGCCCCTACTGCCCTCCCAATCCTGAAGCACTCACATATCTCTTTCCCTGTTTTACTTTTTGTCTTGGCACTGATCCACATCCCTTACTAGAATACAAGCTTCGTGAATACAGGAACTTTACCTGTTTTGTTCACTGCTATGTTCGCAAGGCTTAAAACAGTACTTGACATGCAATAAATCTTAACAAACATTTGTCGAGCACTTGAATGAAAGAGAAAAAACCATAGAAAGACTTGATGCTTATGGCACATAATGTGAGTGGAAACATGGCATTCATAATTTTGACAGTGTCAGATTGAAGGTGCATATTCCAATACTTCCCCTATACAATACTGAAGAAAGATGAGCACGTTTACAATAGAAATAATTTTAAATTGATCAGAATTAAAATAGACATTCTTTTACTCAGAGAAGAATATCAGACACCAAAAAGCTATGGACTGAGGCAGAATGTTATAAGCACCTTAAAAAAGAAATTTAAGCACAATTTTATCTTTTTGATCAAAATCAAAAGGAAATATTTGATGTGGTCACGCCTTGAAGGGTTGACAGAATTTTGACAGGCATTGTGGGCAGATCTTCCAGGCAATGGCAGGTAGGCACTCTAAGATGGGGAGAACAATATGCACAAATGCATGGAGGTCAGAAATCAAAGGGTATATTTGATCAGAGGAAGCTATGAAAGAGAAATCCAGAATGCCGTGGGAGGTGATGTTTAAACTACCAAAACTAGGAGTTACATAAGGAGTACTCATTCTGTACAAATTTGTGAACTGGTCTAAGTGGTGGAAAGGGATATAGCAAATTCAAGAAACTAAAAATCCTGTGTGGCTGAAACAGAGTGAGGAGAGAATCATGAGCTGAGGCTGAAGAAGATGAGGCAGAATGCTGGGAGGATAAGGGATTGCCCTGCCAAGAAGCCAGATGGAGGGTTACCTTATGCTGGGTAGCCGTGGTGGCCTCATGTGGCCAAGAGCCTGGACTTCACAGGGAGAAAGATCTGTCAGTTCTGGCCCTGCCACAAACCAGACGCAGTGGTAACATAAAGTTTTAGTGAAATGAAAATGTAAAGATCTCAATAGTAAACACTCAATAGATATGCAATTTTATTATTATTACTATTACATTATGTTAACCTATTCTCTTTCAATCTGGGGAGAAAATAGGGTTATTGTGAACATTTGTTGTATGGCATAATATTAAAGAGGCCCCCTATGATAATGATAGCTATCCTATATAATAAAAGCCTAATATGCTTAGTGTCTGGTTGACTAGTCGGCTTCAACCAATCAAAGTGTAATATGCTAATAATATGATAAGACCACTCAACTGCTTGCTATGACATGGACTGACCACCAGGCGCCAGATGCTCCGACTGGTAGGTTAGCTTGCTTCTGAGGTCCGGCCAATCGGGAATGGGCAAGATGGGCCGGACATGCCCTGGAGCCCTCCTGCAGTCACTCCCTACCTGGCCAACATCCCACCTCTCTCCCTGGCCTCAATCATGCACTGGTGGGTCCCTCAAGGTGGCCTATGCCCTCTTGCAATCTGGGACCCCTCAGGAGATGTTGGAGAGCTGATTTCGGCCTGATTCTGCAAGCCAGGCTGAGGGACCCCACTGGTGCAGGAATTTATGCACCGGGCCTCTAGTTTGTTGTAAAAGCATTGAACATGATTCACAGCAACTTTTACTATTCTCATCTTAAGAATATTCCTGAAACACTGTTATCTTGAATTTTTATCTCTAACCTTTCCATCCTAAAGATACTAAAAAGATACTATCCTAGTAATGATGGAATAACTTCTATGCCACTTTCCATCCACACCAGCTAGCACAACACTAATTTTCAGTGATGAAAAGGATTTCATTATCATCTGACTTTTGAGCGTGGGTGAGGGGTTTCTGTGTAACACTTCAGACTTCATAGTCTCCTAGTCCAGACTGATGGTCAAATGCAACATAGCCACCCATAAATTAAAGGGGGTCTATACTTATAAGAACGCTCTCAGATTCGCCTCCCTTGTTCCTGCAGAATTACACCAAATACCTGTTTGCACAGCTCTGACCAGAAATTGCCCTTTCAGAGCAGCTCTGCTTAGCGCCACTCCTCCCGTGGGCCCAGCCCTCAGCCGCAGCTCCTGCCTGTGAGTCAGATCCTCAGTTGTCCAGAGAGAGTTTGGAGACGCCTTGGCTACCTAACCCTGTTACTTTCTCCTCTAACAGCCTGACTTCACTACTTGCTTCCCTGTTCCATTCGTGCTTTATCTTCAGAACTACTGTTTCCTGGTTCTTGCTTTAGATTTCCCTTAACTCTGATTCTGACTGTCCTGTGTAGCATTGCATCCCCTTAAGTCCAATCCTACCATAGCACCCTCCTACCCCAGGAACCACCCTAGAAATGCTATTGTTGAGCGAAATATGGGGCTATCTTGGAGGTTGAGAGAAAGTAATAACCATTCAATTCAATTCACATATTTATTTAGTGCCTACTGTGTTCGAAATGCTGAGTGCTAGGGATGTAAAGTTAAACAGGTCACAAACCCTGCTCTCAAACAGTTTATTTCAGCAATTGCTAGACGTTTTCTATAAAAGGCCAGGTAGAAAGTATTTTAGGCTTTGTGGGTCATATGGCCTCTGTCACGTGCTCTTTTTAATTTTTTCCCCCACAACACTTTAAAAATGTAATCGCCATTCTTAGGGCCAAAGTCCATATAGATAGGTCCTTGCCTTATAGATTTATGGGTGAGCAAGCAATCGGCAGTACAGCATGATAGATTCTATCACAAAGGTAAGCCAGTGGTTAAGAGTTCATAGGAGGAGCACCTACCCCAAGCTTGGGGTGATGAAACAGGGCTCCTAGAGAAGAGGAATTTTAAGTTGAGTCTTGACAGGTTAAGAGATTAAATCAGGGTGAAGTTGAATCCACTCAAAGGCAACAGCTTGAGTGAGGGTCTAAAGATAAGATAGGGTCTGGTACATTCTGAAATTTCTAGTTGTTCAGTATGTGGCTAACGCATAGAATGCCAGGGTTTAAATTGGAAGGCAGAAGACTGAAGGGTGAAGCAAGGGCCAGATGCCAAAGGAAGGCAGGTGGAAAGATGGCTGAAACTTCAGGATAAAAGATATTAAGGAGAAACAGTCTGAAAGTGCCTCCATAGGTTGTGAGAAAAATGAGGCCTCAGGAGAAAGCTAGGTTTCAGAAGTCCTTAATAGGTAGAAAAGGCATTTACGGGGGCGGGGGGGGGGAATTGACAACTAAAAATCAGGAATTTGATGGTGACTGTAATAGAGCCAGGGCCCCATGGCCTTTGATGAGAGGAGCAGATCTGCAGGCGGAGGAAAATGGCGAGCCGTGTGTCTCAGTGGTAAGTGTAGGGAAGGCTGGGGAAGGGAGTGGGAGACCTACAGGCACAAGGGGGCGGGGTTACAAAGGAGCTATGCACAGAAGAACCATCTTACTGAATTAATGTGCTCAAGTGACTGGCTCCAAGGTTCCAGGTGAAATACATGATTTAGTAAATGTTCTTTGGCCTTTTAAAAAAGCACAATTTGCACACATAGTTATATAGAGTCTGCTATTTAATTATCGATGATCTACATATATTTAGCATGTTTTTCGTCAGATAAGGACATTTTATTGATATACATCTAAATCACTTTCGCATATTTAAGCAGATAATTAGAATGCATTACATTACATTATAGTGATCTTGAGTGTTCAGAAGCCCCCTTTAGAAATGGACAGTTGCCATTAATTAAACATTATTATTGCTGCTTGTTTTAGGACCTTACCAACTTAACCAGGCTTCGTCACTTAAAGGATTTATGTCTGAATGATCCTCAATATAAAACCAACCCAGTGTGTCTGCTGTGTAATTATTCCATACATGTACTGTACCACTTGCCTTGCCTTCAAAGACTTGACACATATGATGTGTCAGCAAAGCCAATCAAGAATCTGGCAGATGTAAGTGCATCCCTAATCAGGTATCTGTGACTTAAGTTTAATTAACTGCTTCTTTCTGGCTGTGTCCACATATGGCAGATAGTATTAGCTTGTCAGTTCTTGTCACCAAGTCTACTTTTGCCCTAGTGAGCTGGCTATTTCACACACATATATACCATTAATAAAATAATTCCTCAGATCTCAATTTTGATGACAGTACTGAAAAGTGAAATAATAAAAAAAAGTTGTTAATTTATACAAAACTAAAAGGTAATCTGAAAAATTTTAATCACTGTTAAGATTATTTGCACTAGTGCTATATATACACAAACATTAATAAAGCCTAAAGAAGGTAGAAATGAATCAAGTAACTTCCTCTCATTTGAAATTTTATGTATAAAAATGAGAAAGTATCCATGGTGGATGGTAGAATGCTAGGATTAGGTCAATTTTAATCTAATTAAAGGTGAGCCGAAACCAGTTTGGCTCAGTGGATAGAGTGTTGGCCTGCGCACTGAAAGGTCCCATGTTTGATTCCGGTCAATGGCATGTACCTTGGTTGTGGGCACATCCCCAGTAGGGGGTGTGCAGGAGGCAGCTGATCAATGTTTCTCTCTCATAGATGTTCTAACTCTCTCTATCCCTCTCTTTCTCTCTGTAAAAAATCAATAAAATATATATTTTTAAAAATTGTTGGGGAACCATCCACACTGCCAAAATCTTGAAGATCTCTGAAATCTTGAAGAGAACTATTCTGGAGCTGCTGCTGCTGCTGCTGGTGAACCTCCCAGTAGAGGGTCTACTTTGATGTGCTACTAAAGGGTCTGTAATTTCAGAATAGAGTGCATAGGGAGTCACCATGTTTATTAATAGTCGTTCCACATTATATTTTTACCTCTCCCTGCCACATTTGTTCATTCAATTAACCATCCAATACATAGTTTTGAGTAGGTACAATGTGCCAGTCACGTGGACACCTTCACATATGACCCTCCCATTCTTTCCTGTGGCTCATCTATCATCTCAATTAGATAATGTTTTTATTCTTTTATCATAACCTCTTTCTCTTCTCTTGATAGTCTGTGAATTTATTCTAAACTTTCATTCTCTCTTTTCTTCCCCCCGCCCCAAACTGGGATTATCATCCCTCCCACCCCCAGCTGAGAAATAAATTTCTTACAATATTAAGCAAAGGGCTAGAGTTCTTGTCTACTAACAGATGTTTGGAATCATTGAAGGGCCAAGAGGAATGCCTTCTCTAACAATGTTAAATTTAAAATACAGCAAAGCTTTGTAGTGAAAACCATATTTTTACATCAGGCAGTAGTTTGACATCAGGCGGTTACTGCAAAGGTGAGCAGGGTGAATGTTATTCATGATATTACTTGGCTGATTCATTCATTTAACAAATGACATCCCAGGCACAGTTCAAGGCACTAGAGACATAGAGTGACATAAGCAGGAAAAATCCCTGCTTTCTTGGAGCTCTACTGAGAGCAAACAGATAATAAGCAACTAAATAAGGAAACAGATGGTGATAAATGCTATAGAGAAAATAAAGATGAAGAAAACAGGATTGTTGGTAGGGACAACGGACAGGGTGTTGACTATTTTATATAGAATTGTTGGGGAAGGACATGCTAAACTGACATTTGAGCAGAGATTGGAAGGAAGGAAGGATGCAAGCTGTTCAGGAATCAACAAATATAAAGACCATGATGCAGAAGCATGCCTCACATTTAAAGAACAACAGAGGCTAGTGTGGCTGAAGAAAGTGAGGGTGAGAGAAATAAGAGATAAAGACAGGAGTGGTGGGGAGCAGATCATGGGAGACTAGAATGTTGAAGGACTTTGGCTTTTACTATGAGTGAGATGGGGGCCACTGATGTTAAGCAGAAGGATGACGAGATGACATGTCTTAAAGGGATCCTTTTGGATAATGGATTAACAATAGAGAATTAGAGGAGGAAAACATGAAAACAGAGAGACCAGTTAAATTCCAATAATTTGAATGAGAGATGTTGATGGTTTGATAACAGGGTTTTAGTAGAGGTGGTGGTGGAAAGTACTCTGGTTTGGGTAGTAGTCAGAAGGTAGCACTCGTCTGGATTTGCTGATAGATTAGATGTGAAGTACAGAGGAAAGTAGTACAGAATAAGTCCAAGTTATTGGCCCAAACAACTGAAAGAGGGGAGGAAATTGCTATTTCATAAAACGAGGAAGAGCATGGGAGGAGTAGGTTTAGAAGGAAGAATTACAGTTTAATTTTAAGCTTATAAATTTTGAATAACCTTTTGAACATTCAAGGAGTATATCCAATAAGTAGCTGGATATATGTCTGCTCTTTTATAGAATTGCCTGCATTGAATTAGATTGATAATTTACTCACTCTAAATAAAGTGAGTTCACTTAGAGCATCCTTTTATAAATTGGGGGGGGGGGAGAGAAAGAAACAACCCTACATGAAATCCTATTCTTAGCCATGCTTTTAAAACAATGAATTAATAATATTACATTTGCTTTTAATTCTTTTTAATATCTTTACTTTCTCCATAAGTTAATCAGATAGGGAAAATGTAGTTATGTATTTGCTTTAGTAATACTGCCTCTTTAGATAAATGATACTATTTTATAAATTAAATTCTATCTCTTTATGTTGTCATCTTGGAAGTAAATATGAATATGCCTCACATTTAAAATATAATCCACAATCCACAAGGATAATGGAATTTTATATTTCACTTACCAAGTTTAAATATAGAACTCTGTGTAGTCACTATCATTTCAACATCATCATCATTAGTAACTGAACATGCAGAGCTTTCAAATTGTTAGTTAGAACATATTGCACTCATATTGCTAATAGTTGCCTATAATGTGTGTTTTTTAAATTTCAGTTAATCTTTTCTTTTTTTCTCACTTTTAGACCACAGCAATGAAAAAGATAATGTATTACAATATGCGTATAAAAACTGTTCAGAGGCATCTTAATGAAGACCTTGAAAAGCTAACTGAACGAAAATGTAAATTACAGAAGTTGCCAGAAGAACGAATAAAACTACTCAGCTTTGTGAAAAAAAACGTAAGATATACTGCTGTAAAGTTTCAGTGGCCACATCTTAAGGAAACTGGTGGATAAAATAGCATTATATTTTCATTTTATGTATATATACACATATACACATATAATGTTATTTTAATTAATATTGAATTTCAAGTCAAGCTTAGTCCCCAAAATATATTGATTCCAGCTGTGTTACTAAACTTCATTCTGTGCTTATAAATATACAGTTCAAAAAGGTATCGGCTTAATATATAAAAATTAAAAAATTTCAATATATAAGATTTTTAAAGTAATTCAATTTGATTCAGAGTTGTAGAGATTTGTTAGACTTATTTTAGCCCCATTTTTATTAGATACTAGTAGGTTACACTCAAAATTCATTTTCATGTCTAAAAGGATGAAATATTCCTTTACTAATATTATTAAGGTATAAAAGAAGGTCAGAACTTTATATCAAGCTATACCTTAATAGTTATATTGTGTGTACCTTTTTTTACTTAGAATAAACTAGATTTCCTTTATGAAAAGTAGACCCTGAAAATTTAAGGATTATTTACTTCAAAACAGAACTTTGCATATAAAAAAAACATATATTTTTTAAGTATGAGAAAAAGTGGGTTATTCAACAAATTGTGTCACAAAACTAGTTGAACTACTTGGGGGTGGAGAAGTTGGACCCTTAATTCATATTTTATCAAACTAAATACCAATGGGGAAAATATTTAAATGTTACTCTGAAAAAATTTAAGAATATATAGATGTAACTTATCTCAGCCTACCAAATAAAAGAAACAATAGAAATTGCAAAGGAACAGAATGTAGATTTGTTTGAAAAAAAGAAGGTAAAATGCCTTTGTACAAAAAAAAAAGCATAATTAATGAAAATAAACAACAAATGACAATCTGAAAAAAATTGTTTTCAATAAACATGTTAGACAACATGATATCCTTAGTATAAATGGACCCATAAATAAAACAAGAAAAAAGTAAATAGAAAAATTGACCAAATTACATCAATTATCTATCTAATGATAGGATAATATGCAAATTGGTTGGGACACCATCATGTAATGACCAATCAGTAGGGACCTGAGACTGCTTGGCAGCTGGCTGGGGTGGGAGACCTCAGTCTGCACCCCTCTACCCAAACGCTGGTCCAGGATACCGCAGGCTGTGGCCCCCACCCCAGGGCCTGGCTGGGGGAAGCTTAGGTTGTGTCCCCCGCCTGGCAGGGCTTGATAGGGACCTCAGACTATGCTCCCTGCCCTGGTGCCAGGCTAGGTGACCTCAGGATGCACCCCACACCTCGGCCCAGTCCAGGAGACTTCAAGGCCACGTTCCCGCCCTATGCCAGGCCTGGGGACTTCAAGCTGTGCCCCCCACGCAGCAGGGCTTGATGGGGGACCATAGGCCATGCCCTCTGCCCCAGCACCAGACTGGAGGACCTGAGGCTGCACTCCCTGCCTAGTGGGGTTTGATGGGGGATCTGAGGCTGCACCCCCGCCTGACAACAGGCTGGGGGCCTAAGGCTGTGCCCCCCTCCTGGAGGGGCTTGATGGGGGGTGGGGCTGGCCAGATCTGGGTCTCTTGCAATTTCGAAGCATCTGCAGGTGGGCAGGGACTTGACTCTGGGTCCCACGGCATGCTCAAGACTCTGACAGGAGGAAGATTTTCATATACATTTTACTAATTTTCTTTCATCTCTTTTATTATAGAGAAAGGGCTAATAGCAATATTAAAATAGTTCCTCTAATTAATTCCCTTTCAATGTGCATGATTTCATGCACCAGGCCACTAGTCATTTTATAAAAGAAGAAATTAAAAATGACTAAACAAACATTTGAAAGAACCTCAGCCGATTATTAATTTCTGAATGTGAATTAAAATAATGAGCAGCCATTTTCACCTGCAAAATAGTCAAAGCATAACACATGGTAGTACTCAGCCTGGTGAAGATGGGTATGACACTATTACACCACAGATGGGAGTATAATTGGGTCAGATATAATAACAGCCTAAAAATGCTCAGAGCCTTTGACCCTGTAAATCTACTTCTAACACTCTATTCTGAAGATTTGGATATATTTCTTTTAAAAGCACCGTGTTTCCCCAAAAATAAGACATCCTCGAAAATAAGATCTACTTACAGGTTTCCTTCTAAGTGAAATATAAGGTATCCCCCCGAAAATAAGGCACACACCCCCAAGGCTAAACATGAGAGATTTGGTCCACTGATTCTGAAAGAAATGGAGTAACAAGAAATTCACCAGGAAGTTCAGGAATTGGATTGTTATGATGACGTTCCAGAAGATGATGACATGATTGTCATTGAATAAATGAGTAAATTCTTGATACTGTAGGATTCACAGTTTGTCTGGTTTGTGTTGTCAACTACTGTACTACGGTACCGTATACAGGTAATAAATTTCCTTTATTCTCATTTAACAATAAATGTGTAGTGTATTCTTCTTCAAGGAAAAATAAGACATCCCCTGAAAATAAGACCTAGCGCATCTTTGGGAGCAAAAATTAATATAAGACACTGTCTTATTTTCGGGGAAACGGTATATATTTTTTATTGATTTTTTACAGAGAAGAAGGGAGAGGAATAGAGAGTTAGAAACATTGATGAGAGAAAAACATCGATTATCTGCCTCCTGCACAGCCCCTACTAGGGATGTGCCCGCAACCAAGGTACATGCCCTTGACCAGAATTGAACCTGGGACCCTTCAGTCCGTAGGCCAATGCTCTATCCACTGAGCCAAACCAGTTAGGGGGGATATATTTCTTTACATAAAGCTATTTATTACTACACTATTAATAACAACAACAACAACAACAACAACCCTGGAAACTACCTAAATGTTGAAAATGGACAATATTTTCAAACCAATTTCTTTGCTTTTCTAACTCTAACCCTAACCCTAACCTTAATCCTAATATTTAAGGTTGTCTTTCTCTTAGCCAAAAGAAATTGGCTAACTGAATTTATACCAAAGTTATAATCACATGCTGGCCATATGTTTTATGAAGTTTGGTCTATTATCTAGATTTCTTCTTTGTTTATTTAAATTAATTAAATATTTAATAAAGTCCACTAAAAATTTTTGCTATCTGGTATCGATACATTGATTTCAACAGTTGGAACGAGAATTGGCTGAACTCAAGGGATTTGGCAAAGGGCAAATTGAAAGATCGAATAACAATAAAGTAACCGAGCTTGAAATATTAAAGAACTCTGAAACTGTCTTAGAAGAGCCAAGCTTTCAGCAGAAGATACTGACCAAACTAAATGCCTTGAATGAAAGAGTAACATTCTGGAACAAAAAACTAGATGAGTATGTTTAATAAATTATCTAGTTGTTCAAATTTAAAACATGGCAGAATATAATGTTCTGGGCCATCACTTGAGCTTAGTCCCCTTCAGGAGTGGGAAGGATTATAGTATTAAGTAAAACATGGAACGTGTTTCCTAGTAGAGATAGGCATCTTTGGTTCAAAGCTGACATGTAGTTTTTTAAAAATATGTTTTTATTGATTTTAGAGAGAGAGGAAGGGAGGGCGTGGGGGGGGAAGATCAATGTGAGAGAGAAATTATCAATTGCCTCCCATTCATGCTCCAACTGGGGATTGAACCCACAACCTGGGTTTGTGCCTTGACCAGGAATCAAACCAACAACCTTTTGGTACATGGAATGATGCTCAACCAACTCGGCCACACTGGCTTTTACAGAGGCAATACTTAATTAGGAACAGTGAACATCCACTGAGTGGCATTCTGTCACATCCCTATTTTAGTGTTTGCAATCTAAAAACATTTATGTGTCTTTTCAAACTAACTGCTACCAGTGCAAAAAGCCCATGGCATGGAGGAGACTGAGCAAAGCAAATAGACAGTTCTGTGGAATAATGTAGAAATAATTTTTTAAAAAAATGTAGGTTGCATGTTAAGTAGAAATATAAAGCAAGAAGACTTAGTAAGTATTGTGAGTTTTTAATTTTATTTACTAGGGCATCAAGTGGGTAAGTTAGTATGCCCTGCAATAATGCTAACAAAATAATAACTAACATTTATTGAATTCTTATTGTTACTCAGTGCCAAACTCTTTGCCAAGAGCTTCACATGCATTTTGCATATAATCCTCAAAAAAAGCCTACTCAGGTATTGGTACCATTAATATTGCCATTTTACTGAGAAACTTCAACATAAAAATGTTGTGTCTTGTCTAAGATCTGAGAGCAAGTGGTAGAGCCAGGAAAGTCTTTGAACCTTCACTTGTTCTGAGATTAACAAATATTAAGATGATTTTAGTGCCAGAAATATAATGTATTTTGCATGGTTTAACTATTAACACCACACTGTCTTTTTCCATTGACAAAAAAAGCCTTGTATTTTAACATCAGCTTCTTAAAAAATCAATCATAAATTTCAATGTTGTGACGTAGATAATTTCAATAGTTTGACATATTTTTTTCTTAAATAGAATTGAAACAAATTATTGTATTGAAACAAAGCGAAAGAAGAAAACTAGTGGGTTATTGATCCCGTTTTTGTCAATGGAGTTGGAGACTGTAGGAAATATTCACTTTGAAGAAGGCACTCGATCTGATGACTGGTAATTCTGTTTGAAATTTAGTTATAGCTTTAAAAATAATTCTAAGTGCTTTGGATCATCAAAATATCAACTTATAAAAATGTTAAAATAACCCACTTTCAAAACTGTTCTTATATAAAATATTCATTCATTGAGAATTGACAGTTATCTGTTTATATCATTGCATGAACTAACCTTGAAAACATCCTAATGGTATTTTATGGCCCTTTACCCAATTTCCTTTAGCCCAAAAGAAAAATATAATTTAAAAGTTCACTGGTCAAGTATTAATTTTATGTATGTTTATACTGATTATTTCTGGACAGATTGTAGTGCTGGATTCTGAATATTTGGGTGAGAAGTTAGAACAGAGAAGGAATGACAAAGCAGGATTGGCAACCGCAGATTACAAACACCAGAGAAGGCTGCCTAAGAAATTTCCTGGAGGCTCCATCATCAAAGTCAAACCAAGCTGTCTAGAGCTATCTAGAGTCCGGGTGCACATAGACTATACAAGTTAAAGTAAGGCATACACTTGAAAACCAGGAATCCAGGTGGCCAGTGAATTTAGACAAAAATAGAGAGAGCTGCCGGAAACAGAAGCAGGCAGCCAGCATCCACCCTTCAGAAACAAGGCCTCCTGGTAGACATAAGGAGGTGGTTGTGTTGCCTCAACTAGAGGATACAACCAAAAAAATAATGATCTTTTTTTTTTAAAGCCTTTACAGAAAAGTATCACTAATTATTACTTCCACATTTCTGTAATCAATTTCTCAAAATGGGAAAACACATGAAATAGCCAAAGATTGCCCTAGAACTCTGCAAACTTGGGTGTGTGGACAGAGACCAAGAAACACATAGAGCTATAGAATGGACTTGGAACTTCACCCCAGGGGATGTTTCTACTCGCAGTCCAACTCAGTGTTGAAATAAACTGTGATTCTTTGTGAAAGCAAATGCAAAATTTGCATTAACTTTTTAGAGGGGGAAAAAAAAAAAGTGTGATTGTTATGGGTTACTTTCAACCAAGCCCCCTGATTTCTAACAGATGTGGTTCTCAAGAGCCTTGTGGGTACCTGGGTGAAAAAGTGTGAGAAGCTCTGCCTCAGGAAGAAAGAGACCTTTTGAAATCTTTCTTTTGTATCAATACATCCATTTGCCCAGCAGTTACCAATGGTTGCTTACCCACCATACTTTATTTTTATGTACAAAATATAAAAGGTATTCATCCCAGTTCTCATTGCAAAGAAGTAGAGGCCTTAATTTTTCAAGTGTAATTTTTCAAGATGCATGAATAATTTTTCAGCCTGTCACTTATATGCACTCAATCTAAACATAATTTTTTGTATCTGTTTATTTTTAACTTGTTATAAAGTAAGCTCTTTGTTAAACAGGTAGATTAGTGGGAAAAATATGTAAAAGAAGTGGCCCATACACACTCTCTGTGTCTGTGGGCTATGGCCATGGGCTGTGCATAAAGCCATTTAGGTTATTATGTCAGCCTGATAGTAAATTAGATACCTTGATGGATTGTAATAAGTACTAACAATTGTTTACTTGGTTTTAATAAAAATAACCTTGATCCATTTTAAGGAGAAAATCAAATATTTGAATTCCAAGGACTGTTTTTCACTTCTAGCATACTACAAACTTGGCCTCCTTAGTTCTGATCTTTTATGTATGTTGAGAAATATTTACTAAAGTGCTTTAAATTGTACTAACTTCTCTTTTATTAATATTTTTAAAGGCAATGATTTAGCCCATGGACTGGAATAGAGCCAGAGCTCACATATAGATTACCCCTCTAGTTCAAAGAAGAGCATCTCTATGAAACCTTTCATAAACCAAAATGGTGTAAAGTGAAGAAGCATTTACCATTACCTCATTTGGGAAATTTTTTGTGCATTCCCAAATCCCCCAAATAATCAACAAAATCATATCATTTAATACATAAAACCTAAAATAACACTAACATAGTAAAAGCAGGAATGATATGATACACAGCCTATATAAAATAGAAGTAATGTATGTACAGGGTAGTTTCTTTTTCCCCCCCAATTCTTGACACTATTACAGATTACCCCATTTCTCTGCCTCCCCCCGCCCCAACCTTTGACTACCTCCACTAAGACCTTCTACCCCTTCCCTCTGGCCATCGCCGCACTGTTATCTGTGTCCATGGGCTGTGCAGATATGTTCTTTAGCTAATCCCTTCACCTTCTCTCATTCAGTCCTCCCTCCCACCCCCGCAACCCTCTCTTCTCTGACAGCTGTCAGCCTGTTCCATGCATCCATGCCTCTGTGTCTATTTTGTTCATCAGTTTATTTTGTTCATTAGATTCCACATTTCAGTGAGATCATATGGTATTTGTCTTTCTCTCACTGGCTTATTTCACTTAGTATAAAAATCTCCAGGTCCATCCATGCTGCTGCAAAAGATAAGATTTCCTTCTTTTTATGGCCATGTAGTATTCCATTGTGTAAATGTAGCACAACTGTTTAATCCACTCTTCTACTGATGGGCATTTTGGGCTATTTCTAGATCTCGGCTGTTATAAACACTGGTATAGACATTGGGTTGCATATATTCTTTCAAATAGGAATTTGGAATTCTTAGAATATATTCACAGAAGTGGGATTGCTGTCTCAAAAGGCAGTTCAATTTTTTTAAAATTTTTAAGGAAACCCCATACTGTTTTCCTCAGTGGCTACACCAGCCTGTATTTCTACCAACAGTCTATAAGGGTTCCCTTTTCTCCACATCCTCATCAGCATTTGTTATTTGTTGATTTATTGATGGTAGCCATTCTGGCAGGTGTAAGTGATATCTCATTGGGTTTTAATTTGCATCTCTGTGCTGATGTTAAGCATTTTTCATATGTCTATTGGCCATCTTTATGTCCTCTTTGGAGAAGTGTCTATTTAGGTCATTTGCCCATTTTTTAATTGGATTGTCTTTCTGATGTTGAGTTGTATAAGTCCTTTAAATACTTTTGAAAATCAACCATTTATTAGATATATCATTCTAAATATTAATTTTGTACCCTGCTACTTTTCCAAATTATTTTATCTAGTGGATTTGGTGGCATCTTTAGGATTTTTTATGTACAATATCATGTAATCTGTGAATAATGTCAGTTTAACTTTCTCCTTTCCAATATAGAAGCCCTTTATTTCTTCTTGTCTGATTGCTGTGGCTAGGACTTCCAGTACTATGTTGAGTAAAAGTGGTGAAAGCAAATATCCCTATCCTATTCCTGATCTTAAGGGGAAAGGTTTTAGTTGTTGCCCATTGAGTATGATGTTGACTGTGGGTTGGTCATATATGGTCTTTATTCCCACTTTCCTGAGAGATTTTATCTCAAATGGTTGCTGGATTTTATAAAATGCTTTCTCTGCACTTATTGATATGACCATGAGGGTTTATTTATTTATTTATTTATTTATTTATTTTTACTAAGGTATTACATGTGTACATATCTTCCCATTCTCCCCTCTCCCCCCCCTCCCTCTCCATACAATAACCATGAGGTTTTTACCCTTCAGATGTTAGTATTAGGGAGAGACCACCAATCAGGGACCTCTGTGATCTTAGTCCACACCCATGCTCAGGTCCTATGCCAGTGAGAATAGACATCTCATCAAAGGCAAATATATATCATAAAGGGTCACTTAATTTTCTTTCAAATTGATCCATTTTTAAATCTCTTAATCTAAATTCTGTGGTACTTTTTAAGACAGGACCAGAATTATTGTGAGTATGGCCAGATGAGGGCAGCAGAGAGCAACATCAGTACATTTTCTTGAGCTCTTCACATGGCCCATCCCTCCTCCTCCTCTCTCAATTCTTAGTTCAAAACCCTTCTTAAGTAGCCCCACTCTATTCCTTACCCCAAGCCTCTGTTTCTTCAAAGCCCTTATCCGTTTAGAAATTATTTCATTTATGTCTTATTTATTTCTTTGTCCAACCCCCTTGTAGCATAGGCTCCATGAGATCAGGGATCCTGCCTCTTTCACTTCTATCAATATATTCCTAGTTTGAAATTACTGCGATAAATCCCATCGAGAGATATTAGTGATTTAGAGTAGTCTAATTACAGTGGCAATGATAAAATAGGGTCATATTAAGGATGTATTTTAGATGTAGGGCCAAACAGACTTGCAGAGGACTTGGGTACTGATGAGAAAGAGAGGAGGCAAGATTTATCCCTGGTTTTTCAACCTAAGCTAATAGTGTAACCATATACTGATGTAGAAAACACTCAGGAAGAACAGGTTTAGGGGCAGGCATTGGTCAAGTTAAGTTTGAGAGGCCTATTACATATGCAAGTGAACATATCAAGTGGATAGTTGGTTATATCTAGTCTGGGTATATCCAGATAAGTTGAGTAGAGATAAAATCTAGAAATAAAATTTTGGAATATATATATATATATATATATATATATATATATATATATATCTCCCCAAAATGTATGCACACTTTAACAGCTGACAGCTCAATTTTGAAAATGGAATGTAGATTCATAAACACCATTTTTTATAATTATTAAAGGTATGCATATAAATTTGGGGACACACACACACACACACACACACATATATATATATGTAATATTCTGTATTATATATTGCCAAAGGACCAAATGAAATTATCTAGGCATAGTGTTCATGAAAATAAAGGAGAGCCAAAGACTTAGTCCTAGGTCAATCCAACATTCAAGAGTCTGTCAGAGGAAAAAGAAGGAGCAAAGAAAACCATGAAGGAGCAGCAAAGAAGAAGAAAGCAAGAAACATATAGTTTCACTGAAGCCAAATGAAAAGTGTTTCAGAAATGCAGGATTGCTCTACTAATATATTTTTAGTCAGAATAAATACATAATGATTAATAAGAGAGCTATTATTTTTATGTTTCAAAGTTTAGCATCTCTTTTATTGTTTGAACCAACGTAGAGCCACTATATGATATATCTTCGTGGCGGAAGGAACATAAAATATGGCCTATAACTATTATCATATGCAACTTTGTGTTCTTCCACATTTTGAGGAAAATATACTATTTTCTTTATATATGTTCTGTATGCCCACCTAGGTTCAATTCCTGTTATGAATTAATTCTAGCACGTTTTTGTTCATGGGACTTCAGATCATATGGTATTACAGGAGTGAAAGTAAAACGTGTCATCAAAGTTAACAACCGTATTCTGAGACTAAAATTTGAAGAGAAATTCCAAACATTTTTGGACAATGAAGATATGCATGATTCAGAGTAAGAAGTTAAATTCCATAATGAACATTTTTTTAAAGTCTGATTCTATTTTATAAAAATGTCTTTCTGTTTTAAAAGTTAACAATATTGAAAATATAACTTCTTAGTAAATATTTTCTTTTCATACATCTCCCTTGACCAAGATGACCTCTTTATCTACATTTTGGTTCTTTTTGAGACTGAGGGTGAGTGGAAGTTTAATAATGACACTGGAACATCCAATATCATTAGGATAATCCTGGGAAGGATATACAATTATCTTAACTATAACTAAGCTTTTTAAATTCCAATTTTTCCCCTCTTTATTCTTAAGGACCTACCGAAAGATGCTGGAATGCCTTTTTTATGTTTTTGATCCTGAAGTTGCAGTAAAGAAAAAACATCTGCTACAAATACTTGAAAAAGGATTCAAAGACAATGAAACAACCAAAGTAAGGAAAAAAATGTCATTTAGAACAATGCTCTCTTCCTCATGAACAAAGTTTCAGGTTAAGCATGAACTTTTTCCTAAATCCTTTAATTTTTTTAATGTTTTTATTGATTTCAGAGAGAGAGAGAGAGAGAGAGAGAGATCTTTCATAATAATATAAAAACATGTAAATTCACTGTACCTCTGCTACGCTCACAGCCAATCAGAGTAAGTATGCATATTAACCCAACAAAAATGGCGGTTAATTTGCATACATACCTGGGTCCCGGGAACCTCCTCAGCAGCCAGGTTACACACAGCTGGCCATCACAGAGGTGGGGGCGGGAGGCTTCCCAAGCCTAAAGCCTGAGGCGGAGGCTTTAGGCCAATCGTGGAAGGGGGGAGCCCAATTCCCAAGCCTAAAGCAGGGGGTGGAGGCTTTAGGCTGAGCCTATGATTGGAGGGGCTGGAGAAGCGGCTTTCCAAGCCTAAAGCCTAGGGTGGAGGCTTTAGGCTTGGGCAGAGGTCGAGCCTAGGATCGGAGGGAAGGGGAAAGAAAAATCAATGAAAGCATATCCTCAGGTGAAGATAAAAAGAAAAATAAAGAAATGTCATATCTTCTGAAAGGCACATCTTGAAAATGCCTGAAGAAAGTTGTCATTTTTTTTTTTTTCACCCCCTGCCCTCACCCCCGAAAGTTGTCATTTTTTCATGGTAAAGGGACTGGAGTCCATATTGATGAAAATACCTTGGTGGGTGTGGTGACTGGCAGTGGCTACAGCAGTGGGGTAATGGGGCTGGTGCTTTCCCCTCATCAGCCCAGTCACCTCCCACAAAGGATTGCCAGATTGTGGCTTAGGTTTGGGAGTGGGCCTAAGCCATCAGTAGGACATCCCCTGAGGCTCCCAGTATATGAGAGGGGGCAGGTTAGGCTGAGGGACACCTCCCCAGTGTACAAATTTCGTGCACTGGGCCCCTAGTCAATAATGAGAGAGAATCATTATCGGCTGCCTCCTGCACACCCTACACTGAGGATCAAGCCTGCAATCCAGGCATGTATCCTGACCAGGAATTGGAACTATGACTTCCTAGTTCATAGGTCGATGCTCAATCACTGAGCCACACTGGCTGGGGAATCTTCTTTGCTTTTTAACCATATGTATATACTAGAGGCCTGGTGCACAAAATTTGTGCACTCAGGGAGGGTTCCCTCAGCCCTGGCCTATGCCCTCTTGCAGTCTGGGAGCCCTCGGGGGATGTCTAACTAATGGCTTAGGCCTGTTCCCTGTGGGAAGCAGGCCTAAGGCATCAGTAAGACATTCTTAGCGCTGCCACAGAGGCAGGAGAGGCTCCCGCCACTGCCACAGTGCTTGCCAGCCATGAGCCTGGCTTCTGGCTGAGTGGTGCTCCCTCTGTGGGAGCACACTGACCACCAGGGGGCAGCTCCTTTGTTGAGCATCTCCCCTCTGGTGGTCAGTGCATGTTATGGTGACAAGTCATTCTGTCATTTGGTTGATTTGCATATTAGCCTTTTATTATATAGGATAGCAAACTTCTATTTCACAAAAGGCTTAGTGAAAGTACATAGAAAGTACAGCATCCTCATTCTTTGTATTGTACAAGAATAAGTTCATTAATTTATCTGCCAGACTACTTAATCTTTCTAGGTATCTTACTTTTTATTTGTGGTCCTTTTATTGATGATCTTGAAGTGTCTACTTTCATCTTTTTTCAACTTTCTAAGGTCCATCCCATCTTGGGGGGGGAAATATATATATATATATATATATATATATATATATATATATATATATATATATAATTTTTTTTTTTTTTTTTTTTTTTTACTAACACTGCTGTGCTGTCTGTCATCCTATTTTTCTCTTTCTTTTTACTGCCACCATTTATTTATTCTCTACTTCCCTGTCTGCACTTTGATGCTGACATTGCTCTATTCCTGGTCACTCCTTAGCTCCAAAATATCATCAACCCTTCTCAGTCCTCTACCTTCTTGTTGAGACAGCTGTAGCACACTGGTATAGAGCAGTGTTTTCTAACCCTTTTCATATCAGAAAACACATAAAACAAAAATATTGCTGCATTTGAATCCACTACCCTACTCACCAGTTATGGTACTTCCCCTCTCGTGCCTGTTTCTTCCTATCTTTAAATGAAGATGATAATGGTATCTACTTCACAGAGTTGTGGTCAGGATTTAGTGACATATGCATTAAAAAAGTTCTTGTATATCAGTGTCCACAACATCATTTTTGACAAGAGCCAAAAACTAGAAACAACACAATGAATGGGTAAACAAACCCATTTTTTTTCAGCCATAGAAGATAATGAAATTCTGATACATGCTATGACATGGATGAACCTTGAAAATATATTAATATATGAACAAGGGAGGTGGGGAGGATAAAGGAATAAGGAATTATTGCCTAATGAGTACAGAGCTTCTATTTGGAAAGTTGAAAAGTTCTGGAAATGGATAGTGGTGATGGTTGCACAATATTGTGACTATACTTAATGCCAATGAATTGTATGCTTAAAAGGTTCAAAATGGTATCTTTTACCATATTTTTACCAACACTTTAGAACAAAACAACAACCTCCCAGCTGCTCTGTGGAGATTGGATTGAAGGGAGTAGGAGCAAATAACAAGGGCACTATATGCAGGAGGTGCTACACAGCTTAGGTCAGAGGTGAGGGTGGCTTCAGCAGGTGGTATGGTGAGAGTGCCCTCCCTGTACTTTCTGGAAGAGAAGTATGAGGGAGGTGGGGAATTGAGAGTTTTAGAAGGTAAAGTGCTCAGGGTCTCTTCAGAGCACTGTGAACCATTATGGGCACAGAGGGTAGGGGAAGGATGGGCTAACAGTTCTGTCTGTTTTCTGCCTGCCAGACACTGTGCCAGTGCTTCAACTCCTGCATCTAAAGGAGATGCAATATCTCTAATCCTCCCAACGGCTCTCTACAATGCTCTATCCAGTACAGTAGCCACTACCCACATGTGACTGCTCAGCATTTGAAGGGCTACCAGCCAGAACAGAAATAGACTCTAAGTTTACAATATATACCAGTTTTTTTAAGACAAAGTACAGAAAACGGGACTGTAATTTCTTATATTGGTTATTTATTGAAATGATATTATTTTGGAAATATTTGATTAAGTAAAATGTGTTATTAAAATTTATCAAAAGGGCCGAAACCGGTTTGGCTCAGTGGTAGAGCATCGACCTGCGGACTGAAAGGTCCCGGGTTTGATTCCGGTCTGGGTCATGTACCTTGGTTGCGGGCGTATCCCCGGTGGGGGGTATGCAAGAGGCAGCTGGTCAATGTTTCTCTCTCATCGATGTTTCTAGCTCTCTATCTCTCTCCCTTCCTCTCTGTAAAAAAAAAATTATATATATATATATATATATATATATATATATATATATATATATATATATATATACATATATATACACACACACACACACACAAAACGGGCTTTGCCTAGTTCCACAGATGACTCATGCTCTATATATATAATTTTTTTTTTTTTTTACAGAGAGGAAGGGAGAGAGATAGAGAGCTAGAAACATCGATGAGGGTTCTTGGACCAGTTCCTGGCACATAAGATTTTTAAAATAACATTTACTACTATTGTCTGTACATTTGATACTATTAACTGATTTTTTTCCTTTCTGAAACTCTCCTTTGGCATCCATGATATTGCACTATTTTTATCCTTTTTTTCTGATTGCCCTATCTTTGTTTCCTTTTTGTTCCTTGTCTTGCTTCAAAACATCAGAATGCCCAAAGATTAGATTTTACTAACATGCCCTTCTTTCTACAACCACCACCAATTACTCTCATTGTTAAGATCTTAGAAATGGGGGACATATTGGCTGGGGGGGAAAAAACCTCATATTTCATTGTTTTATGCAATGTACATGATTTCAATAATAAATAAAACCAGTATAAACAAGTTTAGGAATGAAATTAACTGACTTTTGATAAGCATACAACATGATTGGATGGAATTAGAAGTAATTAGTAATTTTAAAAGTACTCTCTTATCCTGATTGTTACCATACTGTGGGTTATAGAGAGAATGGAAAATATTGATTAATGCTGTGAATTGGTTAAGTGGAAATTGATTAAGTGGCAAGCAGTTGGAGCACATTTGTTATATTGAAATGTAACCATTTATATGCATTTCTCCAAAAGTCCTTGAGGATAGGGTCTTTGTTTATAGATTATTAGCTGAAGTCTGAGGAATAAAAGATTGATAGTTGGGCAGATGGATGAATGGCAATCACACCTGTTCCTGTGCCTTCATATGTTTTATTCCTCTTAAAAATACTTTCATCTATAAATTTTTTGATTATTGGACTTATGTCTAATTTTAACCACTTCAGTTAAAAAAAAAAGATAAAATATTTGATGCCTGGTATTTTTTTATTATTGGGTATAGTTTCCATCCCCTCTCTTATTTGACAGCTACGACTAGGCTATAACCTCACAATGCCATATATATAGCTTGCATCTAATAAATATTAAGTGATGTTGCCAAAACCGGTTTGGCTCAGTGGATAGAGCGTCGGCCCGCGGACTGAAAGGTCCCAGGTTCGATTCCAGTCAAGGGCACGTACATTGGTTGTGGGTACATCCCCAGTAGGGGGTGTGCAAAAGGCAGCTGATCGATGTTTCTCTCTCATGGATGTTTCTAACTCTCTATCCCTCTCACTTCCTCTCTGTAAAAAATCAATAAAATATATTAAAAAAATATTAAGTGATGTTTCCTAGAAATCAAAGAAGGTTGTACTTACTGGGATGTGGAAATTGTGGTGATATGAGCCACATTTCATAATTTATTTTATAAAACTTCTGGACAACAGATTTCAATGCAAAAAAAAAGACATAGGCAATTCAGCATTTACAGAAAAGTTATATTTCTAGATAATTTGGCTACTAACATTAAACTAATAATAACTTCAAAACTGAGATAGTGACATGGAGAAGTAGAAATAAATTTAGATCACGGCTCTGCCAAATTCTACTTCTGTCTTTGGATAGATCGTACAATCTCTCTTAGCTCTATTATTATTTTTTTTTTGACTGCTAAAACTAGAGATTGCTTGCTCTTTAGAGTTGCTTTCACAACAAGTAACAGATATTTTTGATAAAACACTTTGAAGAAAGAGATCAAGTCACAGTGCAAACTAAAATTTCTATGCATTATCACAGTGATATATATCTGAAAAACAAGGTAGATTATTAGACCAGATATATTAGAAAAAATATACATGATAGAACCTTCATTAATGTAATACCTCATTCCCATAGATATTTTGGAATATGCACAATTACTAATGGGGTATCAGTGAATATGTGTAAAACTGTAGCTCCTGCACCACATAAACATAAAATAATAAACCCACTATGTTGAAGTGTTACCAATTTTATAAAAGTACTGGCTTTGTTTTTCATTACAGCTGTCTCTCAGAAAGGAAGCTGTCCCTCTTGCTAACAGCCTAAGTATGTGCGAGTGTCCCAGAATTGAACTTCTACAACAAAAGCACAAGGATGAGAAGAAAAACTCTTTAGACCATGAGCTCTTTAGATATGGTAATACAAATATACTCTATTTCTGAACTTTTAAGTTCTAAGTCTTCAAATTCATTCGTTTCATAGCATTTTTGATACTTGGCTTATTAACTCAGGGAGATTTTCTGAAACCATTTTATTTAGTATTTACGATTGAGTGGATACATGACTTTCTGATCTATTACTTTAGTCAGGTTGTCAACAAATATTGCTGAGTGATTATTATGTGTCAACATTAATAGGATGAGACTCATTTGTTACTCATATTTAATCCACATTATCTAATATAAAGTCTGCTTTTGTTCATTGTGTCCTAAAATAAACTTTAAGTATACATACATACATACATGTAAATGTTTATACATTATTTACACATACCCCAAATTTGTGGGAAAGAGAACTTGGCCCATTTATGCAATAATCATCATAGAGAGCACTCCGAAAGGCAGGCCTTATTTGTCCTTAATTATCAAAATATAAGATGATAAGAAACCTGGTTATAAGTCCAATATTGGCTAAAGACCCATTGTGAAGTATATAGATTGCTTTATAAGTTGCCTTTTTAAAGGTAATCTTTTGTTATTTCGTTGATTCAGTCATCAGAACTTTATTTACACCTTGAATAGATAGATATAAAGGCACATGACCCATTTGTAGACGCTTCTCGAAGAGGTTCCCTGGTACCTACAGATTAGGGGAAAGACCAGCTCATCATGTATTCTCTTGCCTTGCCCTCTTTCACAGTTCATTTTTCATCCCACCAGTATTTACTGAATGCTTACACACAGTGAAGCACTTGGTAGGTGATAGGGATAGTCAATGCAAACTAGACAGTCTTGTCTTTTATGGTGCCCACAAGCATTAATTATTATGCAAATTAATGTAGATTTACAATTATCATAAGAGCTACAAAGATGAAATATTAATGAATAGTATCAATTATCATAATGAGAATTGACCAGGTCAGGGAATAAGGGACACCTATTCTTTGGTCTTAACTATCCTACCTACTGAAGATTGAGCAGTCAGAAATTTGGTTAACTCATTTATAAGAGTGATATTCTAGGTTCCAGAAAATTAAGCAGATTATTGAATCTAGAAAGAACTATTTATTTGAAAAAATAACATTTAAATCTTTTTTTTTCATCCTTCTTCATTTTTATCCTAAAGATGGTGTTTTCTATCTTTCTAGTATATGCTTTCTAAAGCAATTAGTTTCTACCAATTAACATTTTATAGCTTACTAGAGGCCTGGTGCATGAAAATTCGTGCACTTGGCAAAGGGGGAGGTGCGGACGGGGGTTTCTTAGCCCTGCCTGCACCCTTTCGCAGTCCGGGACCCCTCAGGGGATGTCTACTTGTCTACGATCCCTGGGGAATTGGGCCTAAGCTGGCAGGTGGACATAATTCTGGCAGCCCAGGAGCCAGTGGGAGCAGGCCTAAGCTGTCAGTCAGACATCCTTAGTGCTGAGAGGCTCCTGCCACCACCGCTATGCTTGCAGCCGTCATGCTTGTGGCTGAGCAGATCTCTCCCCCTGTGGGCATCTACCTCCTAATGGTCAGTGTGCATCATATTGACCAGTCTTTCCTGGTCATTCCACTGTTCGTGTCAATTTGCATGTTATCCTTTTATTATATAGGATATGTAAAAAGTCATCTGAATGTAGTATGCATAATAATTAGAACTTACTCAATATGATTCAGTGACTCCTGGAGATCCTTGAGATTTAGTGAATCTCAAGGTTCCCTAAAATCTAAAGGGAAAGAAATGTTCAGCCATCAGTAGACATTTATTGAATGGCTCTTTATGCTCCAAGCCACATGCTAAATACTAATGATGCAGAGATGAATTTTTACAACAGTTAACATTAAGGACAACAGATTTCTTATTTTAAATTACTTGATAAAATATTGCTAAATTATTGGGTCCTTTCCTTCCTTTTCTGTAAAGCTTTGATTGATATAATCACAAGAATCTCCTTTTATAACTATTGCATTTATTCAACAAGTATTTCTTGAGCTATTATTTTGGATCGAGCAATGTGCTATGTGCTAGCCAATGGCAACAAGTTAGGCAGGATCTCTGCCTTTACAGAACATACAGTCAGGTATGGGGCCAATAAGGAATGTTATATTGGAAAATTACTAAAATGAACTGTTAAAAATAATTTGTTTTTCAACTTAGGCATCCTCCTCATTACAAAGGTTTTCCTTGGCCAGAGTGTTCAGGCTCGTGAACATGACACCATCAATCAAGCCAACTACCCAATGGCTAATTCAGTGTTCATCCCTCGAAAATGTGCACTAAGTATGTCTGCCAGAAAGAGAAATGTGCTTTCATCTTTCTGAATAGATGTTACAATTTAACCTCTACTTAAAGAAATTAGTAAACTTTTCTACAAAAAAATGTTCCTAGATACTAATGAACTTTCATTTTTCTAACCCCTTCATCAATGTCATTTTTGTGTGCAAATATTTTATTTGTAAAATTTTATATTTGACATACATATTATATATATATATATATATATATATATATATATATATATATATAATATGATAAAAGAGATAAAACCGTTTTAACAACAAAGGTTTTAGATAAATACATTTTTAGAAATATACATTTTATTGATTCTTTACAGAGAGGAAGGGAGAGGGATAGAGAGTTAGAAACATCAATGAGAGAGAAACATTGGTCAGCTGCCTCCTGCCCAATCCCTACTGGGGATGTGCCGGCAACCAAGATACATGCCCTTGACCAGAATTGAACCTGGGACCCTTGAGTCTGCAGGCTGATGCTCTATCCACTGAACCAAACTGATTAGGGCTAGAGAGATACATTAGTCAAAACAATATATCACATATTGAATAGAAAAGTGGAAAAGTATAAAAAGGGAAATAATATGAAAAAAAGTAAATCCTACTAGTCTACGTTGTGACAGAGTGACTAGTACGTATAGAATTAACAGTCTAGGTAGTGTGGAAAAATATAAGAAAAAACCTTCCACACTCTAACATAATAGTTGGAACTTACTGAATTTGTTATTTATGAATCTATATAAGAATGAAAAGGTATATTTTGTGTCATGTTGAAGAGTGTTTTGCCTGTTTTTGTTTCTGATTTTATTCTAGGTTCTATGGTGGGACAAAGAAACTGTGATTGCAGCTTTCGGCAGTCTAAGTGGTTTGTCTTTGATCATGACCTTGTTTTGCCAGAATACATCGTTGAATTTGAGTTCGTTACAGTGGTATGGATGTTATTTTTAATACTAGAGTTTCTTAAATGAGAACATAACATTAATTTGAAGTCTAATAATGCTATTTCAAATACATTATATAAATACACATATGTATATGCATATATATATACTCAAATTTTAAAAGCAAATCATTATGACACCTAAGTATTTTAATTATGCAAATATACTACATGAGTACCATATGGCTGGAGTCCCACTGGAAAAGATTCAAACTATATTGAAGAATCTATATATATAAAAGCCTAAGCAACCATTGCAACCAGTCACTATGATGTGCACTGACCACCAGGGGGCAGATGCTCAATGCAAGAGCTGCCCCCTGGTGGTCAGTGCATTCCCACAACCAATCTCCCACAGCTGACCAACCTCTCATGGTTCCTCATCCCAACTGGGTGGGTGGTAAGTGCACTCCCACATCCAACCTCTCATGGTCCCTTCCCCCCAGCTGGCTGGTCCCGATCAGCCCCAATCACCAGCCAGGCCGAGGAACCCCACCTATGCATGAATTCGTGCACTGGTCCTCTAGTATGGAATAAACATGAAAATCTGCTTTCACTTCAACCCCACTCCCTTTCAGGAGGCATCCATTATTAATGGCTTTGTGGGTTTGTTTTCAGACTTATTCTATACATTTACAAATATAACAACACATTTTACATTGTGAAATTAAATTCTAAGTATTCTGTGATGATTTTGCCATTAACAATAGGTTTTAGACATATTTTCACTTCAATATATATAGGTCTATACATCAGTCTTTTGGTAGGTGCAAACTATTTAGTAATAATCATTTATTTGACTTCCCTATTGATGAAACATAGGTTTATTTCAGTATTATTACTATTTAAAACAATATTTCAGTGAACATTATTGTAGACGTTTCTCTGCAACATAGATTTAAAGAATAATTTGGATAGTAAAAGGGCATATACATTTTAAATTTTGATAATTTGAGCATTCTCTGCAAAGATGTCACCATTTTATAAATTTCCAACAGTATTTTAGTGTTTGGTTTATTTTCATCTCTGCTGACACAGGATATTACCAATCCTTTTTTCCTCACTCAGATGGGAAAAAAAGAAAAAAGAAAAAGGTTATTTTATTATTTCATTTGTTATGGGTTATTTATAATTTTTTGAATCACCTGTAATATACTTTAACCATTTTCTATTGGGCTCTATTGTTTTCAAACTGATTGGAAAAATTTTATATGCATTCTGGATATTAATCCTTTATCATGCCTATATGCTGCAAGTATTTTCTGTCATATTTTTTGTAGCAAAAAACATTCATTTTAATTTGTAATTTACACATTATTTTTTAAGAATTCAGATATTTCTTTTTTTTTCCAATATGGACTCTAAATTTTATGTCTCATTTCAGAAGGCTTATATAAATTTCTTTGTTTTCCTCCCAAATCTTATATAGATTATTCTAAAACTTTTAGGTATTTAGTTCCATATAGGTATTTTTTTATATTGTGTGAGGTAGGTATGGTAACCAAATAAATTTTCTCTTAAAAATGAATAGCTACTTGACAAACATCTATTTTTCCTCTATTTAAGATACCATCTTTGTTTTCATATACAAGGGGTCGATTTATAGATCTTTCTATTCTGTTCCATTCATCTTTGTCTAATCTTAGACCCCTATCACATTGTTTTGGTTATTACAACCTTGATATGTTTTGATAAGTGATAAGGCAAATTCCCTCCTCCTGTCCCCAACTCATCGAGAAAATAAATTCTCAGCTACTCTTGAGCATTTTCTTTTCCAAATAAAATTTAGAATAAGCTTGTTAAGTTCTATTTTAAAATCCTATTAGGATTAGATTGAGATTGTATTGAATTTAAAACTTCATTTAGGGTAAAATGAATACTTTGCATTATTGGGCCTCTCATCCAGGAACATGATAAGTTGTTTCATTTACTCAAGTCTTCTCTGACAGTTTTCTTTATATAGGCCTTAATTCTTGTCAAGTATAGTTCTGGGCATGTATATTTTATATTGTTATTATGATTGAAATTGTATTAGTCAAGTATGCTTTCAGCAAAAGATTTAGAAATGCAGACAAATAATAAATAGAAAAAAACCTTAAAGTATAAGTAGGTGTGAGGTGGACAGTTCCTGACCATTCAGTGATGTCAGCAAAGACAGTAACCCCATCATTCTTCTGCCTGCCACTTCACGAGCTCTTTTGACCTGAAGATTCAGTTCCTTCTTTAGATTAGGGAAGTTTTCTTCTTGTAATTCCTTGATTATTTCCTCTGTTCTATTTTCTGGCAAGCTCCCTGGAACTAAACATTGGCCATTCTAAATTATCCTCCACATCTTGTAAATATTTTCATTTATATTTTATATCTTCAATTTTAAAATTTTGTGTTCTGGATGAGTTCCACAATATCAGCTTCCACATGGCTAATTTCATCTGCTACCATATCCAATTGGTTTGTCAAAGCATTCATCAATTCCAATTATTGTTTTTATTTCAAGGTTTTTATCTTATTTTTTCCTATATTAAATACTTTATTCTATTATAGATGTTTTATTCTCCTATGTTTTTGAAAACTCTCTTATAGATTGTTTTGTTTTTTTTCTAGAGTCACTTCTGTCTGTTCATATTTTTCTTGCTTATCACTATGTAATTTTTACCAAAATTATATAATTATCTAATTAATAATTACCTGGAGCATTCTCCTGCTGTTTTACTTGTCCACTCAGAACACCAGGTTTCTCTGGACCTGCTCTGCAGTGGTTTTCTCCTGCATGTGTTTTGGCTAGAGGTTACCTTTCTGCTCCTATTTCTCTGTTATTTCAGTCCCCTCTGATTTATGTCTCACAATTTCTAGTCTTTTGTTGTGCCCTATCCATTGTAATGTAATTTTTTGCTGATTTTAAGGAATATTTAGTGGGAGGGGATGAATACATCACACCTATTCTTAGCCCACAATTTTTAATCTACTTTCATACATTGCCTAATATGATTCTTATCACCATATGTATCTATAATAATAAAAGGGTAATATGCTAATTAGACTGGACATCTTCCAGACAAAGCCATGGTGATGGGCTTAGGCAAAGGCTGTTAGGGGTGATCAGGCAGGTAGGCAGGTGAGCAATTATGACCCAGTGATCCCAGATTGTGAGAGGGATGTCTGACTGACGGCAATCAGACATATCCCAAGGGGTCCCGATTGGAGAGGGTGCAGGCCTGTCCCATGCACGAATTTTATGCACCAGGCCTCTAGTCTATAATATAAAAGCATAATATGCTAATTAGACCAGACATCCTTTCAGATGACCTTTCAGATGAAGCCAGGGCTGAGAGGGCTGAGGCAAAGGTGGCCACTGCGGCAGGCAAGAGCCAAGAACTTTGCATGAATTTTGTGCACTGGGCCTCCAGCTACTATATAACTAAATAAGCTTATCTTTTCTAAATAGCCTATTTCTTTTTCAAAATGATAAACTCAGCAACCAAATTTTCAATATTTTAAATAAATTTTTAGGTCAAGACTTATTCTTTATTTTCTTCAGTCAACAATGCTATTCTAGAAGAAAGCAAAAAAAGTTCAGAAGGATCAGTACTGTCCCAGGAATTGAAATTTGATGATGAAGTTATAAAAATGGACCCCAGGATCAAGCCAAGACCAAAACTTATTAGTTTGGATGATAAAATAATACTTTCCCTTGCCAAGACTAACATATACAGTCATATTGTGGTAAGTATTATAATGAATAATATTTTTGGACAAGAACCTTAAATTTGGAATCAGAACCTATCATATGAAATCTAAAGATATTAAATCACCTATCTGATCATGCCAGGCATCATGTGGTCAAATTTCAAAGTACCCAACCCTTTTCTTCTATGTGGGCTACATTTGTGCTGGTCTGGTAGCAATGTTATATTAACTATACATGTAATTTAAATTTTTCTATTATTCACATTTACAGTATATATTAAAAATTGGCGCTAGTCAAGTAGGTTACTTAGTTGGAGTGTTGCCCCGATACACCAAAGTTGTGAATTCAATACCTAGTCAGGATACATACAAGAATCAATGAATGCGTAAATAAGTGGAACAACAAGTCTATGTTTCTCTCTCTCTCTCTCTCTCTCTCTCTCTCTCTCTCTCTCTCTCTCTCTTTGTCCTCTCTCTATCAATAAATAAATAGATAATAAAATTTAAATGGCAGGATTAATTTTAGTAATATATTTTAGTTAATCTAACATACCCCAAATATTATCATTTTGAAATACGATTGACATTAAGATTCATTAATCAAATTGTTTCATAGTAACTATTTGAATTCTGGAATATGTTTTACAGCACATTTTAATTAATTATCTCTTTTTTATTTTTTTATTTATTGATTAAGGTATTACTTATATGACCTTATGCCCCCATTGCACCCCCAACCCTCCCATTCATGCCCTCACCCCCCTCGTTTTTGCACTATAATATCAAGATGTCATATTTGAATAATAAAAATGTTATTATAAAACCTTAGTAATGCAAGGCATAATACGCATGAGTGTGTTTTGACTAGATTGAAATCCCATAACGTGTATTTCTGTAAAACTTAAAGGGATTGAATAAAAATTAAAAATACAACAGAAGATAGGTCTTTTGTTATCTGTAGTTTGTAAGATTAAAAAACAAACAGAGAGGAGTAAACAAACAAACAAACAAACAAGAGAGGCTTTTTCATCTTAAATTTGTTTATACTGCTTAACAGAGAGGAGGAGAATACGATTTCAGAATGCCTTAGCCTACTATGACCTCAACCTGGATGCATTAATTTGGTCAACACCCGTGAGGATGGAGAGGCTTTTTCATCTTAAATTTGTTTATACTGCTTAAAAGCCAGCAGACTCTCTAGAACTTCCAGTAAGAATACTAGATGTCACAAAAACGTTTAGAGAGCACATCCTTTGTTTTCCTCCTTTGTGCCATTACTGTAAGTTCAGGTACATACCTCTCGCTCTCCTTTTGGTCTTCCCCACCGGACTGAGTTTTATGAAAATATACATAAAAATAAAAAAATTATATAGAAATAAAAACCTCAGATTTGTAACATATGATTTTATATTTTCTTACAGCACAATTACATACCAAAAAAAAATTAGGGTTGTCAGTGATAGTCTGTTTTTTTCACTGATTTATTCATCTAGCATTTACTGAGACGGGGCTATGTTTTAGGCAATGAAGTAAATATTGGGGGTTCAGAATGAAGAAATTATTTTTTCTGCATCAAGGACATCATTTTAGTGGAGGAGACAGATATGTAAAAAAAAACATAGGAAGCTTGGAGTTGCTGGGAGAGTTCCACAGAAAGAGGTGAGTTTCGTGCAGATTTTTGAAGGATGAGCGACATTTAGTTGTTTACATATTCCAGGCAGAGGAGATACTCTACCCAGAGGCACATGGTTTTGAAAGAGCATGGTGTCTTCAGGAAACCAGAGAAACTCAGTGCGACTAGAACACAGGGTGTGTGATGGTAGAAGGTAGAGGTGTCAGTTGGGATACAGGAAGCAATAGGTGGAAGAGTAGGAGATTATAGCCATATTAGAATGGATTTTTAAAAGCAAATTTAAAAGTTTAGATTCTTTAAGAAACCTGCTCTCTGTAAAGACTCTAATTCTAGCATCTTGTGATTAGATTTCACTGAAGTCAGACTGGTGGTATGGAAATCCAGTAAAAACTATTGTAGTAGTCCAAATGACAAACAATAGTCTGAACGGAGGCACTGATAGTGAGGACAGTATGGAGTGATTGGTTTGAGAAGCATTTCTAGAATCAAATGAATGTGGAAAAGAGGTAAAGAGGGTGATCAACAAATCTGTTAGACAGATAGTGAAACTCTTAATCAGGATTGACAACATAAACTATCAAGCATATATTTAGGGAAGTTGATGCATTCAGTTGTGGACATGTTAGGTGTAAGGTATCTGTAGAATTTACAATGGATGATACCTACAAATGACCTGTAGAATAAACTGGTATGCTTAAATTGGCCCTTCTTAATTTTAGCTAAGTTTTTACAACTATTTGACATTCACTTGTTTCTCCCTACCAGGAATTTAGTTGTATCCATCCTATCTAATAAAAGAGTAATATGCAAATCTACCATCATTCCAACACACAAAATGGCTACAACCATGTGGACACAAGATGGCCGCCACAAGATGGCCAGCAAGGGAGGGCAGTTGGGAGGCACCAGGCCTGCAAGTGAGGGCAGTAGTGGGCAATCAGGTCAGCAGAGGAGAGCAGTTGGGAGGGACCAGGCTGGCAGAGGAGGGAAGTTGGGGAAAACAGCCTGGCAGGGGAGCAGTTAGACATCAACCAGGCTGGCATGGGAGTGGTTAGGGGGTGGTTAGGCTGGCAGGCAGAAGCAGTTAGGGGCAATCAGGAAGGCAGGCAGGCGAGCAGTTGGGAGCCAGCAGTCCTGGATTGTGAGAGGGATGTCCGACTGCCCAATAGGATCAGGCCTAAACAGGCAGTTGGACATCCCTCGAGGGGTCCCAGATTAGAGAGGGTGCAGGCTGGCTGGGCTGAGGAATCCACCCTCCCCCCATGCATGAATTTTGTGCACTGGGCCTCTAGTATATATATATATATATATATATATATATATATATATATATATATATATGCCTAAGTGACTGGCCAACCAGCCAACTGGCCAACCGTAAGCTAGCTATGATGCACACTGACCACCAGGGAGCAGATGCTCAATGCAGGAGCTGCTGAGCTGCAGTGACTTGGCAACTGGGGTTCTCAGGTGATGCACCTGGAACCAGAGAGGAGAGAGCTTGATTCTAGGGTACATCACCCAAGAAATGCCCACCCAAGAACTGCATTCTGGGACTCCTCGGGAGATGTTGGAGAGCCAGTTTTGGCCCACTCCCTGCAGGCCAGGCCGAGAGACCCCATCAGTGCATGAGTCCATGCACTGGGCCTCTATTATTTAACTATTTTCTTAAAATAATTTCATGCCAATTAAAGATAAACTTGGACAAAGTGGAAAATTAAATTAATCAAGAACCAGATCTAATGATGCTATAATAAACTAAACCTTCTAAAAATGCTACATTAGATTTTAAAAATATATTTTATTGATTTCAGAAAGGAAATGAGAGGGAAAGAGAAATAGAAACATCAATGATGAAAGAGAATCATTGATCAGTTGCCTCCTGCACACCCCATGTTGGGGATCGAGCCTGCAACCCAGGCATGTGCCCTGACCAGGAATTGAATCATGACCTCCTGATTCATAGGTCGTCACTCAGCCACCGAGCCACTGGCTGGGCAGGATTTTTTTTCTTCATATTGGCTCAATCTTAATGTCATTTAAGTAACTATGGTAGAGAATATAATCTGTCTTATTTTAAATTTATGTTTTATTTTACTTCAGAATCTGAATCTACATGGTAACAGCTTGAGTAGACTGAGAGATCTCTCCAAGTTAACAGGACTTCGAAGACTTAGTATCAGCTTTAATGAATTTACTTGTTTAGATGATGTATACCACTTGGTAAGAACTGTCCTTTTGAAATTATTTAAGTAAAGCAGAATTATTAATTTAATGGATAAATTGTACTTGTAATTATGACCTCATGTATACCATATTCAAGAATATATAGCCCAGATCAGGAACAAAACCTAAATAGACTATACTATTTTACTTTCTCTAAACTAGAGATTCCATTTGAAAACCAAATATGCATTTATGGCTGTATCTAATTTCTAGCTACTTCTAAAAATTTTTATTAAAACCATTCCAGATTGCTTTTAAAATATCCTTTGGAAAGTGTCGTTTTCTTTTTATTTTGCTCTTACTACCTCACATGTAATATTGTCAGTTCTTCCCATCTGTTCATTATTCATGTTATTTTTTTTTCTCTCTGCCTTGTCCTTTCTACCTGAATGTCACATGCATGGCTCTTCTTTGACTCATGTTTGTCATCTCATAGTTCATAGGACAAATACAGAAATGCTCATATACACATTAGTTTGGATCTTGTCTGGCTTTTGCTTTCCTTGTCATATATTATGTAGCAAAACTAATTACACATGTGATTTCATAACGCCAATCCAGCATTCCAAGTTTCCCTGGGTCCCAGCTCATTGACATACCTTTTCAGAATATTATTCTCAGCTCTTATTCATTCTCTTACCGGCTAGCAAGGATATCAAACCCTTGTACTGCTGCTTCTACCACTGTTGTGGGGGCAGTTACTTTGTTTATTGGCCTTAGGTTTCAGGGTTAATTAAGCTCCCTTCTTTGTATCTTGTGGTAAGCCAAAGTACTATTTATTTATTTATTTATTTATTTATTTATTTATTTATAAATTGAATTTATTGTGGTGGCATTGGTTCACAAAGCCATATAGTTCTCATGTGTACAACTCAACAAAACATCATCTGCATACTGCATCTTGCACCCATTGCCCAAAGCAAGGTCTCTTTCAGTCCCGGCTTTTCCCCTTTTTCCTATTTCTGTTTGCTCTGCTCTAGTGATTCGCTGAGACCCCACCCCACCCAATTTCCAACCCCACCTAAGCTGTGGGCAGCAGCTTTTGCATATGAATGGCCTGTCCTTTCTCAGGCTAAAAACCTGTCAAACAACCTGCAGCTTGGTGAGGTAGCCCCAAACCTATCAATAAAAGGCCCAAGACCCACTATCCTGCCTTGCTTCACAGCTGGACCTCATCTGGGCACTTCCAAACCCAATAAAAAGAGGGGAAATTTGCAGTTCTCTCTGGGTGGCCCTAGGCAGTTGCTGACTGCACCTTCCTGGAGACTCAAGAGCCAGTGTACCCAGTGATCAGTGTCAGACCATACCAGATTACAACTCTACACATTTGTAAGCAACACACTCAAGGGGCACATTCGGTGAGCACTAAAGCCCCAATGAAGCAAGTCCTGCTCCATAAGGGTGTCTCCTGCATAGCAGCGTTCCCACTGTAGTTGCAGCTGGTCCTCACAGCCAGTTGTCCTGAGGTCAATTCCTCCCAGTGACACTAAAAGCATTCAAGTCTCAACTACAACAAGACTGTGCTAACAGCCCGCAGAGAGGTGCACCTAGAAACTCTCAGCTTAGGTGACAGGGAAGGCTGAGCCACTGAGCCCTATAGGACAACTAGTACATAAGGCCACTCTATCAACTCCAGGAGACTTAGCAGCTCTACCCAATATATAGAAACAAACACAGGGAAGCGGCCAAAAAGCGGAAACAAAGAAACATGTCACAAACAAAAGTAATAGAAGAAATCAAACTATTGGATATAGAATTCAAAACCACAGTTACAAGGTTATTCAAGAATCTTCTAAAAACCTCTAAGGGACTTCGTGAGACTTTTAAGGAGCTTAGTGAGAATGCAAAAAAAGAAAAAAAGAAAAAAAAGAAAGAAAGAAAAGGACCAGTCAGAAATTAAACTTACACTGACTGAACTAAAGAATAATATACAGGGATTCAACAGTAGACTAGAGGATCCAGAGAATCAAATCAATGATTTGAAATATGAGGAAGCAAAAAGAACACCCAACCAGAAGATCAAAAAGAAAAAGAATTAAAAAATATGAAGATAGTGTAAGGAGCCTCTGGGACAATTTCAAGCATACCAACATCTGAATTATGGGGGTGCCAGAAGAAAAGAGAGAGCAAGATATTGAAAACTTATTTGAGGACATAATGACAGAAAACTTCCCCTACCTGGTGAAAGAAAGACTTACAAGTCCAGGAAGTGCAGAGAACCCCAAACAAAAGGAACCCAAAGTGAACCACACCAAAACACATCATAATTAAAATGCCAAGAGCAAAAGACAAAGATAGAATCTTAAAAGCAGCAAGAGAAAAGCAGTTAGTTACCTACAAAGGGGTGCCCATATGACTGTCAGCTGATTTCTCAACAGAAACTATGCAGGCCAGAAGGGAGTGGCAAGAAATATACAAAGTGATGAATAGCAAGAACCTACAACCAAGATTACTCTACCCAGCAAAGCTATCATTTAGAATTGAAGGTCAGATAAAGAACTTCACAGACAAGAAAAATCTAAAGAAGTTCATCACCACCAAACCAGTATTATATGAAATGCTGAAGGGTATTCTTTAAGATGAAGAAGAAAAAGGTAAAGATTAAAAATATAAACAACCAAGTGGCAATGTATCTATCAACAATTTAATCTAAAAATCGAATGAATAAAAAATCTGATGAACAGAATAAACTGATGAATGAAATAGAATGAGGGGCATAGAAATGGAACAGACTGACAATTCTCTTTCAGAGGAAAGGGAGTTATGGGAGGGGGTGTGTGGGAAGAGATTAGACAAAGATCTTTTATGCATGTATGCATTACCTATGGACACAGATAATAGGGTGGTGAGGGCCTGGGGTGGATGGGAAGGGAGCTATGGGGGAATATAGAGAGACCTCTGTAATAATCTCAACAATAAAGATTAATTAAAAAGTTAAAAAATAAAACTATCCTAATAATACACAAATTAGATAATATGCTATCATTAAAAATAATTTTAAAGAACATTTAATGGCCGAAACCAGCTTGGCTCAATGGATAGAGCATTGGCTTGGGGACCGAAGGGTCCTGGGTTCGTTTCCGGTCAGGGGCATGTACCTTGGTTGTGGGCATATCCCCAGTAGGGGGTGTGCAAGAGGCAGCTGATCGATGACTCTCTCTCATCGATGTTTCTAACTCTCTATCTCTCTCCCTTCCTCTCTGTACAAAATCAATAAAATATATATATTTTTAAAAAAGAACATTTAATGATTATGTGAGCATCTTAAAGGATACAAAATTCTATGCAATATAATCTTTTTATACAAAAAAATATATGTCCCTATAATAAAAAATTTTCAATTATTCTGAGCAATAGAATTACATGTTTTCTATATTTTCTTTGTATCTGTTTATTGTAGTTCCCAAATTTTCAACAGAAAATATGTTACTTTAATTATTTTTTAAAAATTCATGCACTTTTGAATAAGAAAATCTTAAAATAGGTTTGGTTTGTACCTCTGAAGAACAACCTTTTAACCATGTTCAATAGTTTAAAGCAAAAGCCTAAGTATTAAGAAGTGTAATTCCTTGTTTTGAGGGACAAATTATATTCCCAGTTTCTCTTTGCCCTCTCTTCTCTGAAAGCAAACAGTGCCACTCTATGTTAATAAGGGTGAAGTGTGAATTAAGAGAGAATGACTAAAATAAAATACCTGTAGCTCTATAGGGAATGTATACATTGATACCATGATTGCAGTATAACTACTGTTTTAGGTTTCTGTGAGGATTACCAAAAGCATGTAGAATACTTAGAGGATCATAGAGAAAGGAACTATGCAAATACAAACCACAATCCTTTCAGTATCACTTCTATTTGTATCTATTGCAGTACAACCTTGAGTATTTGGATGCAAGCCATAACCATGTGATAACCCTTGAGGGATTTAGAGGTCTGATGAAACTGAAGCAATTAGACTTGAGCTGGAATCAACTGAAAAAATCTGGCGATGAAATAAATATATTATGTAAACACACCACAAGCCTTCTTACTCTTGATATTCGACATAATCCATGGCAAAAGGTATGCAACAGACATAATAAATAAGCAAACAATTATTTTTATTTCAAAGCCATTTTCTCACTACTATTCGATGATAGCCAGAAATAGGCAAACTATCTTCATTACATTAGAATTTCTTCTTTAAAAAAATATTTTTATTGATTTCAGAGAGAGAGAGAGAGAGAGAGAGAGAGAGAGAGAGAGAGAGGAACATCAACAATGAGAAAAAAATCATTGACTGCCTCCTGCACGCTCCCCACTGGGAATTGAGCTCGCAACCCAGGAATATGCCCTGAGCAGGAATTGAATTGTGACCTCCTAGTTCATAGGTTGATGCTCAACCATTGAACCATATTAGTCAGGCTAGAATTTCTTGTAAGTATTTCATAAGCTGAATTTAGTATAGTAATCAAATGAATCAAATGTTGCTATAAAAAGTAACATTATAGCCTATAAGAAGGCTATAATTTCATGCCAGAAATTTTTGTAATCTAATGGTTTGATAGTATTATGGCTTTAAGAATGTTAGATGTCATTGCCATTTAGAAAACTTCTGAGAGTTTATGTAGCTCACTGTGCTAGAACTTTATTGTAATGAAGCAAAGGAACCAAGGATAATAGAGTACAGTAAAAGAAATATACTACAAAAGGGGGACAAATTTGTCATCTCCACTATATTATACTATAAAAAGAAATTTGAACACTTTTTTCTCATCAAAAAATATGTAGGTTCATGCTAAGAAATTTCATTATGCAATGATTATATTTAAAGTGTGCCGAAACCAGTTTGGCTCAGTAGATAGAGCATCGGCCTGTGGACTGAAAGGTCCCAGGTTTGATTCCGGTCAAGGGCATGTACCTTGGTTGCAGCACATCCCCAGTGGGGGGTGTACAAGAGGCAGCTGATCAATGGTTCTAACTCTCTATCCCTCCCTTTTCCTCTCTGTGAAAAATCAATAAAATATATATATATTTCTAAAATGAAGTGTATCTCCAAGTATTGAAAACAATCCCCAAGTTTATAATTTCAAGAATCCTCCTTTCTTGCTTTTCAAAGATTGGTTCTATTCAATTGGCCATATTACTGTTTATATTTCTTACATCTTGTTCCATAAAATTTTTATCAAAGCAGACTTCTTGAATCATCACAGTACACCTATATCCATGTTGTCAAATTAAATGTCCGTAGCTGACTAGCTGACTGCTGATCTAAATTAAAAGGAGGCACGGCCATTGTTCTTTGAACACTTTCACCCCAGTCACTTTTCAACAGCTTATGGGATTTCCCACTTTGTAAGAATAGAACCATCCACCTCCAACAGGACAGATTAATTCACAAATATAATTTAATTTTAACTATTATGTAAAGAACTAGAGACCCAGTGCACAATATTCATGCATGAGAGGTGTCCCTCAGTCCAGCCTGCACCCTTTCCCAATCTAAGACCACAGGCTCCTAACTGCTCACCTACCTGGGTGCCTGATCGTCCCTAACCACTCTGCCTGCCTGATCACCCCTAACCACTCTGCCTGCCTGATTGACCCTAACCACTCTGCCTGCCTGATCACCCCTAACCACTCTGCCTGCCTGATTGCCCCTAACCACTCCGCCTTGGCCCCTGCTGCCACGGCTTTGTCCAGAAGGATATCTGGAAGGACATCCAGTTGTTGGGTCTAATTAGCATATTACATTTTTATTATTATAGATAAGTTAAGCCTCTATTTTTAGATATATAATAAAATGGAAGATGCATAATTTTGAGTTATATGGGAAGGAATAAAAAAACCCTTACTACCATGCCATAACAGATGTAATATTTTGTAAAAATTTAACTTTCTGTTATTTTTCCCCAGCCAGCCACACTAAGGCTGAGTGTTCTTGGAAGACTGAAGACCCTGACTCACTTAGATGGGGTTGTAGTTTCAGAGGAAGAAGCTACAGCAGCTATGAAATTCATTAGTGGCTCAAAGATTACTCAGGTTAGATTTTACTCTTTAATACTAATTGTGATATTTTGAATATACAAATAATATTTTCTATGTTCTTATTTTGTTATTGAGATTTTATATCCTCTTAGCATGCTAATAAAAAAGCAATTAATATATAACAATTATATCCCTTGAATTTTTTTCTGTTGAACTGTATCCCATTTAACTTTTTAAAAAATATATATTTTATTGATTTTTTTTTTATAGAGAGGAAGGAAAAGGGATAGAGAGTTAGAAACATTGATGAGAGAGAAAAATAAACATTGATCAGCTGCCCCCCTGCACACCTTCCTGGGGACATGCCCTCAACCAAGGTACATGCCCCTGACCAGAATTGAACAGACGCTCCATCCATCAAGCCAAACTGGGTAGGGCCCATTTAACTTTCTATAAAGTAAAATAAGCTTAGAGGCCATGAGAAATCATTTAGTGAATTATGTACATAGTATTGATATTATATGTTTGTGTTTGAAAAAAACACAATCTATTAACTTGAAGGAGGGGAGAGGTCTATGTTACGCAGATTAATAGTGCTAATATTTTGGACAAAGTCACTTCAACATTCTAAATATCTCCAGTCTAGTTTTCTATCTATTTACTTTTGTAAGGTATTTAAATATTAGTTAATTTTTGAATCTATCAAAATGAAGGAAAGAAACTCTTTTGTTGTTTAAAAATACAATCAACTCCTGAAGAAGAGTTGGGGATTTACCCTATCAGAAATCAAAACCTACTAAAATCCTTTAAGACAGGGGTGGGAATATCTAGCCTGTGGGCTGTACTAGTAAAAGGCCAGTGAAATCATTTAGTCTGGCCCTGCCAACACATTAGGGGTGAGTTAATTAAATGTTTGAGTAAATATAGCAGACTAATTTTTGTATGGCCCACAAACAATGTTTTGGCCCTTAGCAGAAAAAAAATGTTCCCATCCCTGCCTTAAGACAATGTGGAATTGGTGAAGAATTAGACAGATAGACCAAAAGTATAGAATAAAAAGACTCAATATTGACCCACACATGCATGGAGACTTGATAAATAACAAAGCTGCCTTTATAGATCAGAGAGGCTAGTCAATAAAAGGCACAGCGACAAGTGCGTTAAGAACTTTACTGTAAAAAGAAAAACCAATATATTTTGGGAAAAAATATCAGAGATTCTCAGTGTGATCTTGAATTAGGATAGAATTTATTACACGAGAAACAGATAGCATAAAACTGTAAAAGACTGGATTTGTTTTCAGTAAAATTAATACATCTGTTCCTCAAAAGGGATACCATGAAAAGACATACTCGGAAAGGAAATTTGCAACACATATAACTAACAACAGATATATATTATATAATTAGAATACATCATGAAAATAACCAGCCATCATATAGAAATAAATGGTCCTGAGATTTAAACAGACACTTCACTGGAAAGGAAGTCAGAACAGCCAAATAACTTAGGGAAAGATGCTCTACCACATTTGTACTAGTATTCAAGAAAAATGAACATTAAAACTATAGTGACTGCTCTAGTGGCTAGAGTGTCAGCCTGCGGATCTAGGGGTCCTGGGCTAGATTCTGGTCAAGGGCATGTATCTTGGATGCAGGCTTCTCCCCTGGCCAGGGTCCTTGTTGGGGCGTGTGCAGGAAGCAACCAATCGATGTGTTTCTCTCACATAGATATTTCTCTCTGTCTTTCACTCTCTCTTCCACTCTCTCTAAAAATCAGTAGGAAGATATCCTCTGGTGAGGATTGAAAAAAAAAAAACCACAAAAAAAATTGCAGTGACTTACCAATTTATAGCCACCACTTGGCAACAATTTTAAAGCTTTTGCTTCAAGTTTTAGCAAAGATCTGAATTAACATTACAATCGGTACAATTACTTTGGAAAAACAATTTGGCATTATTTAGTAAAGCTGAATATAAATATACAACTCAGCATATATACTGGGTACATATTTGTATATACTCTAAAGAAACTCTTATTGTATACACCAGGGGTCATGCACAATAATTTTATAGACAGGAATGTCTATAAAAGCAAAGAACTGAAATCAGATCCAATGCTCATTAACAGAAGAATTAGTAGGAAATGCTACATAGCAATGACATCTAAATAATCTACAGCTACATGCAACAGTGTAGCTAAGTCTCTTAAATATAATGTTGAGTAAAAAAGCAAGTCATAGAAAACTTCATATATATTATTCAATTTACATAAAGTTCAAATATGTGCAGACTAAATTATATATTGTTTATGAACACAAACAAGTCAATAAAGTAAGTAAATGGTAGATACAAAATTTGAGAGCATTTGATCATTCTTAGGGGATCAACTGATTCACTTAAGTGATGGCTTTTGAGGAGAAAGAGAAAAGGATTAAGAAGGGTAATATGAATAGTGTAGCTCTTAAGCTGCTTTCATGGGTGGATTATATGGTGTTTGTATTACAGTATTGCTTTCACAATTTTATAAATATTACTTGTATGGTTAAATATCTGCTAAGACAAAAATAAAGCACATAATTTAAGCTTTATCTATACATTGAAAACATTTTAAGGCAAAGGAAGTGTTAGATTTTAAAATTATTAATTGGGCCACTCATGTAGGAAACAGTACTTTTAACTAGATATAAATAAACTTCTATATGTCATTTCCTTTACTCATCATGCATTTTTTATTGTGTTAGTTATCTCTCTTACGGCATGCTAGCAGTAAAGAAGAAAGACCACGGATTCTTAGTATATGGCCTTCTGCCAAAATTCTGACACAGATTTCGAAGTTAGGACCACATGCACATCTGAATGCAAACTGGCACTTGAAGGTAAAAGCTAATTCTATTAAACCCATTTTTTAAAAAAAAGCTTAATTTCAATAGATTTTTAGTTAGCTTTGGTCTGTATATCATAAAGAGGACACAGACAGGTGTCAGAAAAGTGGAAGCGTTGAATTAAAATTAAATAGGAGATCAAGTTGTATCTAGTTATTTATGGGGCTAGACTTTGACAGTAGTCCCCATCGTATTGGGGATTTTTGCATAAAGGTAGACTACAAAATCAAAGAGTAGATTCTGATAATATGTCAAAATAATCAAGCAAACTTTAAAGGTCAGAGCCAGAGATCAAACCAAAAGTTTGGGTGGCAAGGTGAAAGGGATGGAAAATCCTGGCACAGGCACCAGGGAACCTCATTTCCTTTAACCTCACAGTTAAAGGAAAAGGTTCTGAAGGCCCAGCAGCTACTTGCCACCTAAAGCACCCTTATATATCTTACCAAAGATAGAAACTGGGTTATAGAAAAGCTGAACCTTGAAAATAGAAGATATTAGTGGCATGATTTATATATATATATATATATATATATATATATATATATATATATATATATATATTATTGATTTTGTACAGAGAGGAAGGGAGAGAGATAGAGAGTTAGAAACATTGATGAGAGAGAGTCATCGATCAGCTGCCTCTTGGATACCCCTTACTGGGGATATGCCTGCAACCAAGGTACATGCCCTTGACCGGAATCGAACCTGGGACCCTTCAGTCCCCAAGCCAACGCTCTATCCATTGAGCCAAACCGGTCTTGGCAGTGGCATGATTTTTATGATGGGATATATACAGATAATTTAGCTGTGATGCAGGTCCAGTGACAGCCTTGGGACACAGGGAGTTCTGGAATTAGAATGGCCCTTTAAATTGTTCCAAGTTGGCCAGGCCTTTATATCCCTCGGTCATTGGATGCGAGGAGCGTGACCTCCTCGGGCAAGGCAGCTCTCTGCAGCTGAGGCTGTCCCTGAAGGGGCTGAAAGCTGAACGCTTTCTGCCAACAGCATTCCCAGCAGCTGCGACAAGTCTTCCGTTGCAGTGGGAATCTGACTGGCACAGCACAATGACCATATTCCATATAAGTCCCTCTTGGAGTTAAAATGTTGTCAAATTTTACTTTTTTGTAACCTAAGGGCTTCATAACATTGTGAAGGAATTCCTTTGATGTTACCACATTTGAATCATTTCACTGGTCGTTATTTATAACACCGAATTTATTGATGAGATTCAGAAGTAATATATACTGTTAATTACTCTACAGATAACTGCCTTAAATTTAGATGGGCAACATCTCTTTGAGATCACAAATTTAGAAAAATTGGAAAATTTGAAATGGGCATCATTCAACAACAACAACCTCACTAAAATGGAAGGCCTGGAATCCTGTGTTAACTTAGAAGAGCTCACATTAGATGGGAACTGCATCTCAAAGATAGAAGGTAAAGTATTTGAGAAGTTGGAAGTCAGGATATGAATATCTAATTGACAAGAGCAGAAAATGAATGGCACAGAGGATGCAATTTCTGAAGAGGAAAAGCTCTAGGGAAGTGCCAAGAAGGTTAGGAGCAGAGTATTCTAAACACCGATTAGTGGGGTCCATGACCACCTGCTGAATATCATGAGCCCAAGTAGCCGACTTTCACCTCCTCCGCCTTCCCTCTCCTCTGTGCCAGTGTTTACCAACTCTTACCAAACCTAACCCATTACAAACAGGCAGTAATTAATACTTATAGAGTTGGGGGGAAAAAAGGGGGGAAGAAAAGAATGAATGAGGTACTTTTTAAAAAGATAAAACAGCCGAAACCGGTTTGGCTCAGTGGATAGAGCGTCGGTCTGGGGACTGAAGGGTCCCAGGTTTGATTCCGGTCAAGGGCATGTACATTGGTTGTGGGCACATCCCCAGCAGGGGGTGTGCAGGAGGCAGCTGGTCGATGTTTCTCTCTCATCAAGGTTTCTAGCTCTCTATTCATCTTCCTTCCTCTCTATGCAAAATCAATAAAATATATTTAAAAATAAAAATAAAAAGATAAAACAGCCCACTTTGCTTTTCAAAATATGGAATTAAAGTTACATTTGGAAATTTGAAGACTTCAACAAAAATGAAAATTTATTCACAAGAGGTTAAAATCCAAATGTACTATGTAACCTTTTATATGGACCCACATGCAAGTACAATTAGGCAGCTTTACTAATGTCTGGGTATATACACACATACACACACATACATGGGCATCAAATATTCCTGGATGTGCATTTTAGTAACGGGAGGTCCTTGGCAAGGACTGAAGGTAAAAATTGGAACTCATAGCTGGAAAAAAGACTTAATTTATAATTTACTCATTTTTGAATTCTTGGATTACTTTTAGCACATGTATGGTGTACTACCTTTTTCATAAAATAAAAAAAAATTATGTCAAAAATTATATATGCAAACACAAATATTAAATATATTTTAAAACAGCATGAATAAATAGCATTTGTTATACTTTATGTTAATGGCTGTTAACAATATATTTCTAAACCTTGCTTGAACATAAGAATCACTTGAGCTACTTCTTGAATATACAGATTCACAGGTCTCTCTGTAGATTTTGGTTAATAAGCCTGAAGGTAGCTAAGGAATTTGTGTTGAAAACCATCAGGAGTCTTCCATTCCCATACAATAGGGTGCTAATTTAGCTTTGTACATATAATTGAGAACCCTGTTTTCTTTTTTTCCCTTCCGTAAGCTCACTAAAGGGAAGAATCCTCCAACCTATACTCCTTTTCCCTATACCTAAACTTTAACAGATATTTCTCTTCATTTTTCCAGACATGCTTGGATGGTTTTATCTTAACATACCCTGGATCGAATTAACTTTCAGCATTGCATAGTCCTATGATAGAAGTTGGTGGGAAAGGGGAGTGAGTAAAATTTACTGAGGACCAATTATTTGCCAAAAGCTATAACTGATGCTCTTCAAATGCCATGCTAATCCTGTGGCCCTTTAGAAGTATAATAGATTGTAGTATGGCCACTTTGTGGATGAGAAAAATGAGACTCAGATGTCACATTATTTACAAATCTAATAGTGATACAATTGAAACCAACTCTGATCCAAAGCTCTTATCTTTCAACTGCACCTCCTTCCTACCTACAGTTATAAAGTGCCTACACTATGTAACGTACACAGGAGTTGGACTGTGGTGAGAGGTGGCATTTTTTAAAAAGTTCTGTCTTAGAATTCTTTTAATCATACAAAGGTAAAATTAGCCTATTTGATTGTTTTTAATGCAAATAATACCACAATGAGGAATATGCTCCAGAGTATTGTACTCCAGTTCCTTACCCTCTTATTAAATGGGGTAATTATTTTTACCTTTGTGTAGAGCTTTGTGTTGCTGTGATCATGAAAAATCTTAATTATATCTCTTGAAGTTTATTTGAAAGCAAAACTTAGTATTTCCTACTACGTAATACCTTCCCTTAACAGCTAAGAAGAATGAGTCTACTTAGAATTCCAAAACTGAATTTAATACATTAGCTAAGACTTCATACAATCTATATCCTTAAGTAAAAGGAAAAATGATGATGGTTAATATTACAGAGTCTGCAGAAAAAGAGAAACAGAAAAATGAGCAGACATTTATTTTTTTAAATTAACCTTTCAGTGCTATCTGAATCTTTTCTTGGATTTGCTTATTTTTCTAGGCATTTCCAAGCTGACTAAATTAACCCGCCTCAGCATGAACAATAATCTTCTCACTGGTTTGGAAAAGCATACCTTTGATAACTTGCTTCATCTTCACTCCCTTTCTCTTGAGAACAACAGAATCACTTCCCTGAGTGGCTTACAAAAAGCTTTTACTCTAATTGAGCTATACATAAGCAATAACTATGTTGCTCTCAATCAGGAGATCTACAACTTAAAGGTGACTACCTGGGGTAATGTTTTTGTCTTTAAAAATATTGTTCCTTTGTACTATGAAAGCAACTCATGTTCCCTGTACTCCATGGGTAAATTTTTTTAGTGCTCAGATAAAATAACCCATTCCTCCTAACTCAGTATTTCTAAGAATTTCCCAAGCTGGATAGAGAGTAAGATTCTTTAACATTTCCTGTTCTCAGAGCAATTCTTAATTATCTCTCACTTACGTACTGGTTCCTATTGGTAGCCCTGTCTTTCTGGTCAACCTTGCCTTAACTTTGTTCTCTTTAGTTCTCCCAAGCTATTGTATAATAGGGTTTACTGAAAGTTTGAATAAAGTGGAGTTTACCACAGCACAGAATAGGAATTAATCTCAAATGTAATGTGTGATTTAATTGTTTATAAAGTTCAATGGCCATTTCCTACCACTGGAACTCTCACCTTGCTCCCTTTTCTTTTGCTAATACCATATTTCTAGGACTTTACGTCCTAACAAAAATGTAGGTCCATTTCCCATCTTCCCTCAAGTTCAGATTTCTCCCATCTTATTCCCCAATATAAATAGTTCTTCTAACGCTTGCAGAGGCAACCTAATCAACAATAGCAGCAACAAAATATACCATTTTACATTATGATACAAAATAGTTTCACTCCCTCTAACCTTAACCTCTTCCAGCCATATCCACTCAGGACCCTTTCTTCACAAAGGTACATTAAAATGTCTTGTCTGATAAAAAAAATTTTAAAAAGCACATTTTCCTTAAAAAACAAATTCTGCCACACTCTTAGAAGGTAAGAGCACTTTAGTTTTATCCCTCATCAGAAGGCAGTGTTCTCCATCCCAGTTATATCTCTATGCACATATACATACTATTTAATAGGCCATTATTCCATAAAAAAAGTATACTCTTTTAAACTTCCCTCCAAATTATTATTACTGATAGATGATTCATTTAGTACCAGCATTCAAAAATGGATTCTGATAATATTATACAAAATTGGACCCTAATGGTCTGACTGGGTAACACTTGTACTAAAAAGTATACTTAAAATCACTCAAATCACTATAAAATGATAAGGTAATTCAAATATTAAAATTCAAGGATAAACTCTTAAGGGAAAAACATTGAGATATATATCACTTTAAATGTATGTATTTTTATTTCCCAGAATTTATGCAACTTAGTCATTCTAAATGTGTATGGAAACATTATTGTATGGAATCAAGAAAATTACCGGTTGTTTGTAATATTTCATCTTCCAGAACTGAAAGCTTTGGATGGAATCTCAATTGTAAGTTGTTTTATGACTCAGCTTTTGGTCCATATGGAATATATGAATATTCACATATCCATAGGCCATAATCATATTTAACATTCTTTATCTCTAACTTACTCTGCTTATTAACATCTAGGTTTCCAAAACACATTATGGACCTGGGTTTCCAAATTTTTTCCTCTGGCCAATTCTCCCCACCCCCCTTTTATTAGATGTATTGGGGTGACACTGGTTAACAAAATTATACAGGTATCAGGAGCTCAGCTGTACAGTGCATCATCTGTACACTGTGTTGTGTGTTCATCCTCCTCCTCTGGCCAATTCTAATCATCTGAATTGAGGTGGCAGGGAAGCAAAGATGCTGCCTACATTTGCACCCACTAATTCAATGCCTTAGAAATAAACAGCACAATTTTATGGAACAGGAAAGAAAAAAACTGCTCTGGAACCCTACCAAAAAAAAAATGCTCTGGAATCCTACCAAAAAACTGTTCTGGAGTCCTACCAAAATAGCTCCCTATTTCCTGGAAAATAGAGTTATTATATCTAAGAAAATATATTTAAACCAACAAATGATATGTTATCATTACCAGTAAATGAACCAACAAATTACATGTCAACATTACCAGTAAACTATAAAGAAAAATAAGACAGGACTAAATATGAAAGCAATATTTAGAAACTTAAATTCTATAACAACTAAGTTAATACAGGGCTCCTATATAACACTGCCTAGCTCCTGCCAAACAATAAAATTCATCAAATCTTCTAGAAAATTGATAGTTCATAACTGTTTGGGACTCAGAGGTGCTCTGAGAAGACTGCTCATTCTGGTCTTGCTGCTCTTTGTGGTCACAAGACTAGGAAAGGAGAAGCCAATTAATCAGAAAATTTTTAAACAAGAATAGGTTTACTCCCTCCAAACACCACAAAATAAATCATGGCCCCAAACAGAATGGGAGCAAGGAGAAAAGCCTTGAAGCCCTACCCGGTTTGGCTCAGTGGACAGATCATCTATTCCTCAAAATAGGAAATAAAAAACATTCTCCCCCAACACAAACAAATTCTATAAAATCTCCTACGGGGTTTTATTTAGGTATTGGCTTTCACTGGGGGATGTTTTAAAAGTAGACTTAGGAAACGTATGTGCTCTAATGATGGTGGCGAAGATCTTATCCTTCCTATCTCTCTGTGCCCTCATTGAAGGATCACGTGAGAAAGTGCTTTTAGAAGGAAGTGTGGGAAAACTTTTTCCCCCAAGGAAAAGTTACCCTCCGTTCACTGACAATAAGTGTTGTTTAACTATTTTTCCTTTCACTTTGACTACCTAAAAGTTCAGGGTCAAATTATGGTTCAATAACAGAAAACCCTGGATTTATGGTCTATCTGTTTCTACCCCCAGTTTTTATCTATTTTGACTTAGATCATTCTTGGTCCCCATCTCCATTATTTATTATTTTCATTTTACTGTTGAATTGTATGTGCTTCCTGTAAGCTGCCACAAATTCTTTGTGGGGTGAGGTAGAGTATAAATATATGAATTAATAATGGAACATGAAGACCAGACTGAATAATTTAGACTTTAATTGAGGCATAATGGAAGGGCATTAAAGATTGAATAGGGAAGTAACATATTCAAAACTATATATTAGGAACTTTAATCTAACAGAAGTGTTTACAGTAATAGATGAGAGACCAATATGGGGCTATTAGAACAGTCTACATGTGAGGTATGGAGAACCCGAGTCAAGGGGAGTTGACTTTAAATGGAGAGCTGAAAGGTATGAGAAATACTGGGGAGAACCGACAGAAGTTAGCAATCAATTGGCTTGAAGGACAATGAAGGGAAAGAGTAAAAGATGTCTACAAGGGTTGAGTCTATACCAGTACGAGATATTGTAACAGGAATATGAATATAAGAAGAAAAGCACTTTTCAGAAATAAGATTATTAATGTTGAACACACTAACTTTTATATGATAGTGGATCATCTGACTGGAGAGGCCAGGCAAGCAGTTGAAAACACAGGACTAATTTTAAATATGGAAATTAGATTTATATTTGTTTAGATTTGGAAGTAATTTGAAGAAAGTTGATAGTTAAACCAAAAGCATATGTAAGATGATCTAAATTAAGAGAGTAGAGAAAGTAAATAAATCCAAGTGAGGCTTTAAAACTTACATTGAGGAAATTTACAGAGGAAAAGAAGCCATAAAAAGTATATGCCCAGGGAGATAGACGAGCAATATAATTCCAGAGATTTTTTTTTTTTGTTAATCCTCACCCAAGGATATTTTTCCATTGACTTTTTTTTTTTTTTTTTTTTTTTTTTTTTTAGAGAGAGAGTGGAAGGGAGGAGAGACAGAGAGAGAAACACGTCAATAGGTTGTTTTCTATATATGTGGCAAAATCCAGTCTGCATATGCCCTTGACCAGAATCGAACCCTGAACCGTCTGTCCACTGAGCCAAAACAGGTAGGGCTTCAAGGCCTTTCTCCTTGCTCCCATTCTGTTTGGGGCCATAGTTAATTTTGTAGTATTTGGAGGGAGTTAAACCCATCCTTGTCTAAAAGTTTTCTGATTAATTGATTTCCCCTTTCTTAGTCCTGTGACCACAGAGAGCAGGCTTTTTGTGGATTTTTTGTTTTTTTTTCTTATTGGCATTTTTGGATTTCTGGCTTTTCCAACATACATGAGGAAAAATGAAAACCCAGGTCTAAAGGGAAAATTCACTTCTGTGTATTTCCTTTACTCTTCCATCACTATCACACTCACAACACTTACCAGCTATGTTCGGGGGTCTTCCTCCAGGGGAATCTACAACTTGTCCATCTGTAGTCTCTCTTTTGCTGGCAGACAGAACAGTATCATTGGCATTCTGTGTCTCATATTAGGTCCATCTCTGCATTACTATAGACCCCCCAATTTTCACCTATTTCATAGGCCCACATGGCCATCTTAACTAAGCATAGGGTGATATCTGCTTGTCAATTCCAATTAATTTCCAAACTTAGAAGGAAGTTCTACAGGTATTAACATGGCCTACTTTAATGTACCCTTCAAATTTCCATAGGGCCATGCCCCATATGGGCATCCCTTTAATAGGCCAGGCTTCCATTGCCCTCCTGCCTAATCATATGGCTTAGCTAGGAACATTGGATGAAGACCATATATATATATATATATAATAAATAGCAAAACACATCAGGGAACTCACCACAATGTCATTTCTCAAGTCCCAAGGTACCTGGCTGGTCTGTTTTCTTCCCTTCAGTCTCCTTCTTTATTTTATACTAGAGGCCTGGCGCATGAAATTCATGCATGGGTAGGGTCCCTAGGCATGGCTGGCATTCAGGGCCAGTCTGGTTCCTCTCAGCCTCCCCGCCACCTCTTTCTTCTTTCCTTCACTCCCTGAGTGCCCCTGGTCCACCGCCATGTTCTGCACCACCCCCTAGTGGTCAGTACACATCATAGCAATCAATCGAACTTCCCATCTCCCAGTTGAACTCCCAAGGAGACAATTTGCATATTAGCCTTTTATCATATAGGAGGATCCCATGTGTAGGGGTTTTAGTTGTACTCAATAGGAGGAATAGAGAGAAATGAGTCCACTTTATTTTGACCTGAAACCAAAGAAAGAATGTCATTTAGTCATCTGTAGGGGAAGGCATTGCTTTCTAAATGTTCTCATATATAGGACCCACCAGAGACTGAGTGTGCAAAAGATTTGTTTGGTGGCAGACTAACTTCTGACATGATTGCAGAACGACAAGGACATTCAAACTTCACCCAAATGCAAGAATTAAATTGGACTGCATCATCCATCAGGTAAAAATATTTTATTATATGTTTTTTGTATAATTAAACATGTAATTATTATCAGTTTCTAAGGTTTATAATTTATACAGCTACCCAAATATAACTTATAATTCAGAAAATTATCTACCTTACTTCAAAATCTATGCTAACTTTGCCACCCTTTGAAATATTCTTATAATTTTTATCATCACACACTATGGTTAAAAATGTCATTAATCTCTTTCTAAGACCTTATATTTCTCTTTTCTTTTACAACCAAGCTTTTAAAAGTTAGAATAAACTAAGTTTACTTGTCACATCATACCACCCTAATTAATGCAATCCAGTTTCATTCCTCTAACACTATTCTTATGAATGTTACCACTGTCCTCAAGGTTAATAAATCCTTTTATTGCCTCTCCTTTTTCCTTATTCTGCACTAATCACACACAGAATAAGGAGAAAAAAAAAAGGCAATAAAAGGATTTAGTTTATGATAATGACCCCAACTTTTGACTAAACCTAGGCTCCGCACTTGAATATTCAATTGCTTTCTATCAATAGTGTCTAGAAAATAACATCCATGTATTGTTGCCCATGCCAAAAATCTAAGAGTTACTTCTCTCTCTCCTTTGTCCTTCATTTTTAATTAATCACCATGTTCTATTGAGTCTATGTCTAAATATGTCTCATAATTACCCTCTTTTTTCCAAAGTCACTGCCATTAGCCTAGGTTGGAAAAGAAACAATTTTAGAAACTTTCTTGACCTTTTTTATTGCCATATATAACCTTCCCTGCAAGTCCATCTACAATCCATACCATCTTTTAAGATGCAAGGTTTATCAGAACACTTCCTTTGTTAACATTGTTCAGTGGCTTTCCATTGTCTACATAATAAAATTTAAAGTCCCATTGTAAAACATAGAAAACCCTTTAATTACCTGCTTATTTTTATCTCTTTTAATCCTTACCTTTATTGCCCTATAACTCTTTATGCTCCAGAAATTCTAAATTATTATAATTCTTCAATCTCAATCATAAGATGATGTGTCATGTTTCTGCCTTTGCTTATGCCTGTTCCATTGCCTAGAACTTTTTCTTTTCTAATTTGCCTAACAAATGCCTATAAATTCTTCAAGTCTCATTTTAAGATTGTTCTCCCCTGCAAAGAAATTCCTGACTTTCCCAAATATGTTTTTCTTTTCCTAAAAGGCCATTACAACTAACTATTATAGCAATTTTTCTTCTTCTGCATCCCACTCCTTCAGGGTAGAGACAATATCTTTTGTAACCTTTTCTGACATGTTGTCTGCACTTAGGAAATAGTAATGAAAATATGTTGAATGAATAAAAGTATGTCATAATTATATTTTCAGGGGTTAGAGTTTGTTTAAAGAAATGGGCAACACAGTTATTTAGCTTTATACTCTTTCTCACAACTCAAAGGAAGGTAGAAGAGTTGTAAAGCATTCTGTTTAATTATCGAAATGTTCTTACAAAGTGGAATGCAATAAAAATTTTCAGATTTCACAAAAACCCTGCTATCAAAGATTTCACTTGCTTTCACCTTTTCTTTTCCATTCCTAACCCCTTCCTGGCATTTCAGAAATCACCTATTTCACTCATATCCTCTGCAGTTTACAATCTGAAAATCTTATGATTTACCATATCACCTTCACTATGATTTAATGAACATGTGAATTTATAAAGAAACTGAAGATGTTAATTGTTTAAAGTTTCTTTTATGATAGTGTTATAATAGACATTTTTTAAAGCAATGAAATTCTATGTCATTTTTTTTACATATGTGCTCCTCCAAAAAATGTAGTTATCTCGCCGAAACCAGTTTGGCTCAGTGGTAGAGCGTCGGTCTGCAGACTGAAAGGTCCCAGGTTCGATTCCGGTCAAGGACATGTACATTGGTTGTGAGCACATCCCCGATAGGGGGTGTGCAGGAGGTGGCTGGTCGATGTTTCTCTCTCATCGACGTTTCTGGCTCTCTATCTCTCTCCCTTCCTCTCTGTAAAAAATCAATAAAATATATTTTTAAAAATGTATTTATATCATCACTTGATCCATAAATTTTACATGAAGGCAATTCTTTTTATAGCATTTGTCAGATGAGATTTTTGAAAATGCTTTTGGTGTTGTACATGAGGGATTCACCTAAATAATTTTCCTACTAAAATTGTAACTATATTTACTTTGTCTAAATTCAGAACTGTGGATTTGATTCCAATTGACCAATTTAGAAATGTGTGTAATGTGAACCTACAGAACAATAATCTTACCTCATTCAGTGGATTAATCTATCTGCCTAATGTGAAGGTAAATCACAAATTTTCTTTCAAAGTTTTCAGTAAAAGCTGTAATCATCTTTATTTTGGATTAAAAGGTATTTTCATGTTATTAAAGAAAAACAATTCCTAAAGTGTTGTGTTTTTTTTTCACCAAACAAGAAAAGCATTACCTTCCAAAGTTATTTTGGTTGACCTCTGTTTTATGTGATTGTCTTATAAGCAGTAAATCTTACTCAGAGTAGTGGCCTCCAGGCTTATAGCTTGACTGAGCCATTTTATAGTCTTTTATTTTATAGTCTTTTAAACACAGGGAAAATAGCAATCTCTCCAACCAAACAGTTATTTCATCTAAATCAGTGTAGACTGAGAAAGTTAAACAGCTCTCTTTTGTCTCCATTATTTTATTTAAAATGTCATTTCCCAGAATGTCAAATAATTTTTTTAAAAATTCAAAGCCAAATCCAGACAATTTGCAATATAAAAATTTGTAATTTTAACAATGATATCATTAAATTATGTTGTACAGTACAACCATTTTAATAGCTTTTGAGATATTAATTCAAACATATATATCAGCATTTGTTTTTTAAAACCTGATTAATAAGATATTCTTTTGATAGGTCTTATGCCTCAACTATAATCATATTGAATCAATCATACCCAGACTAAAGCCTCAGAATCACTTGTCCAACAGACAAGTACTCTACCAAAAAGTGTCTTCAAGTGGGTATGGGCAGCAAGGAACATCAAAAATAAACAGGTACTTTTATTTTTACAATTATAAATAAATTTTGCTGGGAATTTAAAAAGCAATTAAGTCACATTAATGATAGCAGCAACATACATTTAGCTTATTTTAATGCTTATTTAATAGCTACATGCCAAAGATGAACTTCACAAGTAAAAAGGTACTCAAAATACTCCTTTGTCATTAATTTTTCTTTGCTCCCTCCATTTCACACTCATATTGTAAAAAAAGAAAATGAAAAAAAACCTTGGATGTTTAATGGCTGTGTGTGTGTGTGTGTGTGTGTGTGTGTGTGTTAATTTATATATAATTCACATATAACATTCACCCTCTATGTATAATTCAGTGATTATTTTAGTATATTCACAAAGTTGCAACCATCTAATTCCAGAATATTTTCATCTCCCTATAAAAGAACACCTAACCTAAAAGCATAGGCTTAGGTTTCTTTTGTTTTGTCTTTGTTTCTAAATTATCTGGTTACTTAATGCCCCAGCATCAATGGAAACGATAAATTATGAAGAAGTTGCGAACATACCTCCCATCTTCCTACACATTTTTGGTAGAATATAAATATAAATATAAATATATATTATATAAATTTTACCTTTTTCTATGACTTCATTTAACTATAATCATACAGTAAGTATAGTCTTTTGTGTCTGGTTTATTTTGCTTAGCATAATTCTTTTGAGATTTATCTTTTGTTGCAAGTGTCAGTGATTCATTTTTATTATTGAGTAGATTTCATTGTTCAGATTATATGACAAGTTGTTTCCTCATTTATCATTGGTGAACATTTGGGTTGTCTCCATTTTGAAGCTATTTTGATTAAAGCTTCTATAAACATTTCATTTATACACATCCTTTATATTTAGAACTATTTATAGTAGTTTTTACAGCTTTCTTAAAGTACAGTTTACATATTATGTTCACTCATTTAAGTGTATGAGTTTTACTAAATTTGGGGGGGGGGCGGAGAAGATATATGTATTACTATATGTAATACTTTAAACAATAAAAAATATTAAAAAATAAATTTATAAAATTGTGCAACTATTATTACAATACAGTTTCAGAACATTTCCATCATATTTCAAAAGGATCCTTCAGGTCCATTTTCAGTTAATTCCTTGCCCCACCTCTAGCTCCAGGAAACCACTAATTTATTTTCTATAGAGGTCTGTTTTCTAGATATTTCATATAAATGGAATCACATACTATATGGACTTTTACATCTGATGTCTTACATTTAGCGTAATGTTTTCGAGATTAATCCATATTATAGTGTATATTAGTAAGTGAACTTTTTATTGCTGAATATGTTGGGTATTCCATTGTACAGATATTTCACACCATGTTTATCCATTCACAAGTTGATGGACATTTGGGTTGTCCCCACTTTGGGGGTAGTATGAATAATACTGATATAAACATTTATGTAGAAATATTTGTGTGCATTTATATTTTCATTTCTCTTAGGTAGACACCTAGGAGTGAAATTGATGTATTGTATAGTAATTTAATGTTTAACTTTTTAAGAAACTGCCAAACTATTTTCAAAATTGGTTGCACCATTTTGCATTATCAATACTACTTTATACAGATTCTAATTTCTCCATGTCCTCCTTAGCACTTGCTATTGTCTGTATTTTTTATTACAGCCACTCCAGTGGTTTTCAAGTGCAATTTCATTATAGTTTTAATTTGCATTTTCCTCATGAGTAATGTTATTGAGCAGCTTTTCATATGCTTATTAGCCATTATTATATCTTGTTTGGTGAACTGTTTAAAACTTTTGCTTATATTTTAATTAGTTTGTTTGACTTTCTATTATTGAATTCTTTAAATATTCCAGATATAAGCCCATAATTAAATAAATGATTTACAAGTATTTTCTCTCAATGTGTGACTTTTTATTTTCTTAAATGGTGTCTTTAAAAATTTTTTTTATTTTGATAAAGTTCAAATTATCAACTTTTTCTCTTACACATAGGGATTTATGAACTCTTCCTAGAAACTCTTTGCCTAACCTAAGGTCACAAAGATTTTTCTCATTTTCTTCAATGTTTTATGTTTCTTTCTTCTTTTTTTTAATGTAATTATTGATGTTAGAGAGAGAGGAGGGGAAAGGGAGAGAGAGAGATAGAAACATCAACATTGATCAGCTGCCTCCTGCAAGACCAGGAATCAAACGGGTGACCTCCTGGTGCATAAGTTGACACTCAATCACTGGCCAAAGTCTTATGTTTAATCTCTTACATATAGGACTAAGAAGCATTTAATTTTTGTGCATACTTTGAGGTAAAATGTGTGGTCTAAATTTATATTTTTGCATGTGGTTATCTATTTATTCCAGCTCTATTTAAAATACGATCCTTTCCCTATTGACTTTCCTCGGTACCTTTGTTGAAAAGCAATTGATGGATAAATGTAGAAGTTTATGTCTATTCTATTTCATTGATCTCTGTATATGTCTTTTTACCAATACCAGATTGGTTTGGTTACTGCAGCTTATAATAAACTAGAGGCCCAGTGCACGAATTCATGTATGGGAGGAATCCCAAGGGAGGTATAGGGAGCCAAAATGTGATCGGCCCTCCAGATGGGCAGTGGGATGCCTTTGCTGGCTGAGATCTGGATCCTTCCCATTGACTTTCGCATTGGTTGTTGGGAGCCACCTGGTGGCTGCTTTTATATTTTTTCTTTTTTGTGGAGCGTCTAGGAAGGGGAAAAGACTGTGGTGCCTGAGTCTGACTTCCAGGTGGCCAGTGGCACTGTTGGGATCCAGCAGGCAGCACTGGTTTATTGGTGCCTGGCCCATTCTCTGGAGATTGGACCTGCAGAACTACTGAGGGAGTGAGTAGCTGCCACCAGGCTGGTGGGCCACCTGGATGGGTTGGTCAGCTGAGTAGTGCTCCCGCTTGTGGGAGCACCCTGACCACCAGGGGGCAGCTTCTACTCCTTGGTCGTCAGTGCATATCATAGAGACTGGTCAACCGAATGTTCCAGTTATTCTGATAGTTCAGTCGTAATGGTTGCTTAGGAATATATATATAATGTGAACCCTTCAACTTTGCTCTTTTTAAAGACGGTTTTGGATATTCTGGACTCATTGAATTTCCATACAATTGTTAAGCTAAGATGGTTATTTTCTTTCTTTAAAAAAAAAAATAAATCTTTATTGTTTAGATTATTACAGTTGTTTTTCTTTTTTCTCCCCATTGCTCTCCTCCATTTGGTTCCTATCCTACTTTATGCCCTTACTCCCTCCCCCACCCCCTTATTGTCCTCATCCAAAGGAGTAAGATTTTTGTCCAATCTCTTCCAGCATCCCACATGCCCTCCCCACTAAGAATTGTCAGTCCACTCCCTTTCTATTCCCATGATTCTATTATACTCACCAGTTTATTCTGTTCTTCAGATTTTTTATTCACTTGATTTTTAGATTCACTTGTTGATAGATATGTATTTGTTGTCACTTTGTTGTTCATAATTTTTATCTTTACCTTTTCTTCTTCTTCCTAGAGAATACCCCTAAGCATTTCATATAATACTGGTTTGGTGGTGATGAACTCCTTTAGCTTTTTCTTGTCTGGGAAGCTCTACATCTGACCTCCAATTCTAAATGATAGCTTTGCTGGGTAGAGTAATCTTGGTTGTAGGTTCTTGCCATTCATCACTTTGTATATTTCTTGCCACTTCCTTCTGGCCTGCATAGTTTCTGTTGAGAAATCAGCTGATAATCGTATGGGTGCTCCTTTGTAGGTAACTGTTTTTCTCTTGCAGCTTTTAAGATCCTTTCTTTGCTTTTGACCTTGACATTTTAATTGTGATGTGTCTTGATGTGGTCCTCTTCAGATTCCTCTTGTTTGGGTTCTCTGTGCTTCCTGGACTTATAAGTCTATTTTTTCACCAGGTAGGAGAAGTTTTCTGTCATTATTTCTTCAAATAGGTTTTCAGTATCTTGCTCTCTCTCTTCTTCTGACATTCCCATAATTCAGATGTTGGTACTCTTGAAGTTGTCCCAGAGGCTCCTTACACTATCTTCATATTTTTTTATTCTTTTCCTTTTTGATCTTCTGGTTGGGTGTTTTTTGCTTCCTCATATTTCAAATCATTTATTTGATTCTCTGGATCCTCTAGTCTACTGTTGAATCCCTGTATATTATTTTTATCTTGTCAGTGTATGCTTAATTTCTGATTGGTCATTTTTCATATTCTTGAGGAACTCACTAAATTTCTCAGAGGTTTTTAGAAGATTCTTGAGTCTTATAACCGTGGTTTTGAACTCTATATCCAGGAGTTTGCTTTCATACATTTCTTTCATTTGTGAATTTTTTCTTTGTCTCCACATTTTGGCTGCTTCCCTGTGTTTATTTCTATGTAGTGGGTAGCTGCTAAGTCTCTTAGTTGATAGAGTGGCCTTGTGTGGTTGGTGTTCTATAAGGCCTAGTGGCTCATCCTCCCCAGTTACCTGAGGTAGACACTTTTGGTGAACCCCTTTGTGGGCTGTGTGCACAGTTTTGTTGTATTTAATCCTTGATTGCTGTTGGTATCACTGGGAGGAGTTGACCTCCAGACCAGTTGGCTGTGATGACCAGCTATGTCTATACTGGAATATCTGTTGCATAGGAAACACCCTTATGGGGCAGGACTTGCTTCAGTAGAGCTTTGGTGCTCACTGAGTCTGTCCCTTGAGTGTGTCTCTTATGGATGTGAAAGTTGTAATCCACTTTGGTCTCACTCTGACCATTGGTTACACTGGCTCTTGGGTCTCCAAAGAGGTGCAAGATCAGTCACTGTCTTGAGCCACCCAGCAGGAGCTACAGAGACATCTGCAGATTCCTCCTTTTAGTATGGGGTTTGGAAGTGCTCAGACGAGGCCCAGTGTGAAGCAAAGCTGCTGCTGCTGCCAGGCAGTGGGCCTTCTTTTGGAATCTCTGGGGCTCTCTGACCCAGCTGCAGTTTTTTCTGTTTTTGTTTTTGTTTTTTTGTTTTTAGGCAAAAGGACAGGCCATCATATGCAAAAGCTGATGTGCACAGCTTGGGTGGGATTGTAAATTGGGAGGGGTAGGGTATCTAGGAATGACCAGGACAGAGCAAACAGCAATGCCTGCCCTGAACCAGAGAAGTCTCAGGTTCTCTGCATCCCATGCCCCTGTGCAGGAACAATGATCGCTGTGAGCACCTCGAAGAGTAAGCTGCCCTCATGTTCCTGTCCTGATGCCAGACAGTCCAGTTTCACCCCATATGTGCCTGGGTCCCCCAAAGTGTTGCCCGGAACTGGAGTTCAGAGAAAGTATGAGCTTATCTCTCCCAGTTTAAAAGGCAGCACATCCAGGTGCCAGCACTTTCCACGTGTCCGCACCTTTTACTGCTCTCAGTGGCTTTCTTCACCTCTCTAGTTGTGGAATTTCCACTCATCAGCTTCCCCGCAGTTCTGGGTGGTAGTTGTTCTGCTATTTATTGTAGTTGTAGTTTTGATGTGGTTGTGAGAGGCAGCAGGTATAGGTGATTATCTTGGTTTCTCTTAAGATGGTTGTTTTCAGAGGGAGCGGGCACTGCTGGGCTTTTGATAGAAATTGCATTGAATCTATTGGTTAATCTGCAGAGAACTGCCTATGTTAGTAATACTGAACTCCTAATCCATGAACATGAAATATTTTTCTGCTTAGAGCTTCTTTATCACAGCAATGTTTTATAGTTTTCTGTGTATACATTTTGCACTTATTTTGTTAAAGTTTTCTGAATTATTGTATTATTTTTATGCTATTGTAGATAGAATTTTTAATTTCATTTTCAGTTTTCTGCTGATATATAGAAATTTAAATGATTTTTGTATATTAAGTTTTTAACCTATGATTTTGCTGAACTCATTTATTAGTGCAGTTTGTGGGGAGGTTAGGGGATTGTTTTTTGTTTTTGTTTTTTGGTGAATTCCTTAGGATTTTGTAAATACACGATCATGTCACCTTAGAATAAAAACAATTTTATTTGTTCCTTTTTAATCTGGATGCATTTTTTTTCTCTTTCTTAGCTAATTGCACTTATTCTTTTTATATATATATATTTTTTTGATTTTGTACAGAGAGGAAGGGAGAGAGATAGAGAGTTAGAAACATCGATGAGAGAGAGTCATCGATCAGCTGCCTCTTGCACACCCCCTACTGGGGATATGCCCGCAACCAAAGTACATGCCCTTGACCGGAATCGAACTCGGGACCTTTCAGTCACCAAGCCGACGCTCTATCCATTGAGCCAAACCGGTTTCGGCTAATTGTACTTATTCTTGTGTTTTATTTTAAGTAACTCTGTACTTTACCATATGAAAATATTTAAAGATTACAAAATTATTATATAAAATATAGAGACAACTTATTACAGTTTAATTTGGATACATTAAGAAGTTCATCCTTTAAAAAATATTCAATTTATGATAAGTACATATAGGCTGTCTTTTTATGATATAACTTGTTTGAAATTAAGCTTATGGAATCAAACTTACATGTGTGTTTCAGGGATATAATAAGCAATGAAAATTTGCCTCCAATAATGCTCAATTTAGAAGTTCTTCATTTGGGCTACAATGGAATTTGTAATTTAAATCAGCTGCAACTAAACAGACTAAGAAATTTAAAATTCCTCTTTCTACAGGGTGAGTAGCAACACTGTTAATATCTAAGTCTTTGTTATTAAAAACTGACTTGATGGCCCTAGCTGATTTGGCTCAGTAGATAGAGCATTGGCCTGTGGACTGAAGAGTCCTGGGTTCAATTCCCAGTCAGGGCACATGGCATGTGTAAGGCAGCCAGTCAATGATTATTTCTCATCATTAATATTTCTAATCTCTCCCTCTCCCTTCCTCTCTGAAATTAGTAAAAATATATTTTTAAAAAACTGACTTATCATCCTTTTTGATAAGCAAATACATACCTCATCATTACTTAAAACAGATTCACTGATGAAAATATTTTAGTAATCACAAATGGTTTTCTCTTGGGTTATTTATATAAATAATGTCAATGCAATATTCTAGGATTATTGAATATTGCCCTAGAAAATGCAATATCCTTGGACTCTGTACAGCATAGTATTACAACATAATTTACTTTGATATCATACTAGAGGCCCAGTTCATGGATTCATGTATTGGTGGGGTCCCTCTACCTGGCCTGCACCCTCTTGCAATCTAGGACCACACCAGTGCATGATCAGGGTGGGGAGGAACTGCAGGAAGGCTCCAGGGAGTATCTGGCCCATCTTGCCCAGTCTGGATCAGCCGGACCCTAGCAGCAAGCTATCCTATTGTTGGAGCATCTGGCCTCTGGTGGTCAGTGCAAATTATAGCTACCAGTCGAACGGTCAAATGGTCGCTTAGGCTTCCTATATATGAAAGCCTAAGATATATATTCTATTTTAAAAACAATAAAATGTATGGAAAGGATACAGAAATACCAAATTATTACTATTATATATAATTTAAATCTTTGCTCTAAAGTAGTTAAAGATCTACCTATAGAAATATACTGAAACAAAAATAAATTAATATATGTTATTACCTTAAGCGCAACAATAGTTTAAAGAAATTAAAACATTAACCCCTTTATATATCTAGGAGTCTGAAAAAGTGATAGAATTTAGATTGAAAGTGAGCATGATCAAGAGTTTTGCAAGTTCAGGTATGGGGGAAGGAGAGAGTCATAAGAGCAAGATTGTGGTATCCATGGGCCAAACCTTGGAAAGGCACTAACCTGATTAAAACAGAACATATAGTTCTCTGGGTGAGTTATCAAGTTTATAAATATTATAAATTTCATGAATAATGCTCATTTTGCAGTTGAAAATAGGTAGAAATTGTAAATTTTTAGAAAAGTGGCATAAAAAAACAGGGTTTGGAACATTATCTAACAATAAAGGGGGTCAAGTATTTGGTGATGAAAGGAGATTCAACTTTGGGTGGTAAACACACAATGCAATATACAGCATAGTATTGTACACTTGAAATCTATGTAATTTTATTAACCAATGTCATCCCAATAAATTTAATTTAAAAACAAAAAATAATTATTAAATGACATCGAAGAAAGGTTGGGAGATACATCAGTGAGATATATGGGGGAGATAACTGCATAGTTTATCTGAGTATAGTAATTTTTCTCTGAAAGACAGGCTTTTCTAGACAATTTTTAAGTTTTTTTAAAATATATTTTATTGATTTTTTACAGAGAAGAAGAGAGAGGGATAGAGAGTTAGAAACATTGATGAGAGAGAATCATCGATCAGCTGCCTCTTGCACACACCCCCACTGGGGATGTGCCCACAACCAAGGTACATGCCCTTGACCGGAATCGAACCTGGGACCTTTCAGTCCTCAGGCCGACGCTCTATCCACTGGGCCAAACTGGTTTTGGCCATTTTTAAGTTTTTAATGCATATTTTTGCCTATCAAAGATCTTTGCCAGTTGGGTCAAGAACATGGAGAATTAGCCTTAAAAGAAAAAGAAACTGAGCATAACAATGTCAGATCTTTTAAAAAAGAAACATTGACATTAAAAAACAAATTTTAAAAAAAACAAACCACAGACAAACCTGGAAAGTCTATTTAATATAACAATGTATAGGACCAGTGTGTTGTGTTGCTGTGTCTATCATGGCAAATTACACTGAGGCAGCCTTATACAGGAAGTGAAGCAGTTTACTTTGACAGTAATATCTGCCACTTATTGAGTCATTGGTCAAGGTATTTTTTTACCTAGATTATCTAATTCAACCTTCACAGCATAATGTTATATGCATTTTTTAAGAAAAGAAAGTGAATCTCAGTGTGGTTAAATAATGTATCTAAATTCGTGTCAGTAAATGGTATAGTACAGGATAAAACACAGGTCTGGCTCCAAAGCATATGCTCTTTCTGGCTCCAAAGAAGAAGAATGACAAGGGGCTCAGCTATAGTAGTGACAGACAGAACAATGAGCAAGAGGTGAGTCCAAACCACAGTTTCAAAGAAGTAAACACTAGCATTTAATGACTGACTAGATATATTAGGGGAGAAAAAATAGTTCCATATGTATTTCATTATTTCATTAGGAAATTGGGCAAAGGGGGCTATTAAAGCAGAATAAAGTCATTGGGAAAAGTTGCTCATTTGCAGTATGGAAAGATCAGTTCTAGGCCTGATATTGCCATTTTTATGTCTTTGAGGAAGTCACTTAACTTCTCTGATCCTTAGTATTATGATCATTAAAAAACTATTTATCCTGTCCTATTTTGGGACTCTAATAGGAAACATATTTGAAAGTATTTTGTCAACTCAAGAGTTATCTTCTCATATAAACGATCATTAATATTTATAAAGCTATTGATTGCTATAGTAGAGAGAACTCAAAGGTTATAAAGGAAGGACTGAGCCCTAGCTGGTTTGACTCAGTGAATAGAGAGTTGGCCTGCAGACTAAAGGGTCCTGGGTTCGAGTCTGATCACGAGCATATGCCCAACTTGTGGGCTCGATCCCTAGTAAGGGATATGCTGGAGGCAGCCAATAATGATTCTATTTCATCATGGATGAATCAATCTCTCTCTCTCTCTCTCTCTCTCTCTCTCTCTCTCTCTCCCCCCACCCCTTCCTCTCTGAAGTCCATAAAAATATTTTTTAAAAGAAAGGACTGCAGTTTTAATATTATGTAATGAATTCTTAATTTTTAATGTGTTTATAGTATAAAATAGCATTTTTATGAAAGTGTATTAAGGTGTATTTTTTCAACTTAACACAACAAATTCATTTATTTTAATAATTAGATATACCGATTTGAATGCCTATTAGAATCATCAGATATACTCAGGAGCATGTCTTTTGTGGCACTTTTATATATCTACTTTTGTTAAAACAGTAATTAAGACTATTTTAGTACTTAATTACTGAACAGATATTGTGTATCTCACATTTTAATCTTTCAAACATAAAGAGAAAATTTTACAAAATATTTTTTGATGATAAGTTTACCTTCTTAAAAATCACACTTACATTTCTCCTTGGAAATATATTCCTTTAAATACTTTTTCAAAAACAAATGTATGAAAAAAACTTAAATTAAGATAGATAATCCGTTATTCAGGAAGTTTGGGCTCACTTAATATATCATCACCTCTGTTTTCAGGGAATGAAATCACTCAAGTTGAAGGGCTTGACAACTTACTAGTACTTCAGGAATTGGTAGTGGACCATAACCGCATCAGAGCATTTAATGATAGTGCCTTTGCCAGACCAAGTTCCCTCCTGGCACTTCACCTGGAAGAAAACAGACTACGAGAGCTGAACAACTTACAATCTTTGCTAAAACTAGAAAAACTTTTCCTAGGATATAATAAAATCCAGGTAACATTGTTTTGTTTTTGTTAGGAGACTTACAAGACTTACTTAACTCCTCTGAACATAAAGCTTCCAAATACACCAGTGAAAACTTTGTTAGTGGGTTACTTATCATTTATACGCCAGATAAATACTCTGTGATACAGAGGCTTATAAATAGCCTGTGATGAAAAGATGTCCATTCTGCTTCTAGACTTATAAATCCAACCAACCCACATGCATCCACCTGAGGAAAAATTTAAAAAAACAAAAAAAACAAAGGCTAGCTCTAAACGTTCTAAGGCTCGCCCAGCTGGCATGGCTCAATGGTTGAGCCTCGAAGTATGAGCCAGGAGGTCACAGTTTAATTCCTGGTCAGGACACATGACCAGATTGCAGACCTGATCCCCAGTGTAGAGCCGTGCAGGAGGCAGACAATTAATGGTTCTCTCTCATATTGATGTTTCTATCTCTCTATCCCTCTCCCTTCCTCTCTGAAATGATATATATATTAATGTCCTAAGACTCTTCTCAGCAGCTCTCTCTAAGAGATCGCCTTTGTTCTTGACTACTTACTCTTGGTCCATGCTATTTCTGCATCTCAATCCCAGACTTCCTCTGGTCCTTTAAACTTCACATATGGACTTGTTCTACCTGACATTTCAATTATTCCTAATTATGGTTTAATATTCCATTCCCCCCCCCCTCCCCTTCAAGGCTTTCTTAGGATCCTGCATTAGTTTTAACAGCTCAAAATTCAACCTACGCCATTGCCCCACCTGAGCCTGCCCAGACTGTTTCCTGAGATAGTATGCAGATGAGAGGGTTAAAAGTACTAGTATACATAACTTTAAGCAGCCCTAACATCTCTCAGTGTTTTGGTGATGATCTGTTAGTCCTCCTTTTATCAATTTTATTATTCTGCCCATACCTCTAAAACAAACTCCAAGACAAAATGGACTGTGGGCTGCCTCAAAGGGCAGGGACTGAGTCTGTCCTGCCCACATTTGTGTCAGTATACATAGAGCCTGGTTCATAATAGGTACACAATCAGTATTTGTCTGTGGCTCTACTTTGTCCAGTTCAGAAAGCCATTTCTGGGTGATCTAAGGCTAGAAGGAAATCATGAGCAGTACCCTTTTCTACATTTCAACTAGAAAATATACATTCAAAGGAAAAAAAATCATGCAATTAATTTATCAAGGTTCAACAAAATTCATCTGAAATAAGACTACAAAACCCAATGATTCTTACGAAACTTTATCCACACACACACAAAAAATCTAAATTAGGAAAATTGCTATCCTTATGAATAATCTTTCCAATAATAGCAACTGAGTTAACACAAAGGATTGTCAAGTTAGACTTACATGAATCAAATATCTTCCCTGTTATCACACTTTACAAATAATTTCAAGAATATGCAGGACCTGGGACATTCCCATGGCTTCTCAGGTCCTTTCTTTCCACACCACACACACTGTCCAGCTTAGAATATGACCTCTGAATGATATGATCCCATACAACAAGGGAGTGTTTTATTTATAGTTTATATGACATTTTATAGGGAGCCATGCCTGATAATTCTATACATCCTAGGTTTATTTATTATAAACAGTCCTTAACCAGAGAGATCCGCTAAGAGCACCTAATAAACAAGGACCTTCTAGTAAATAGCATTGATCTATTTGACAGAACATCTAGTTATCAATGTACTTGCAAGGAGTTTAGATGGGGTAACCTGCTTTTCCCTAGAAATGTCTCTAACCTACCTCCCCACCATGTTAACCCACTAAAAAAAAGTGAATGAATGGCAGATCAACTGATATAGCACCTTCCTCCTCAGTAACATAAACAGTATAATGCTTAGTCAAGCTTGTTTATTATCAAATTTAAGATAGCTAGAGGACAACTGCTAGTATAAATCATGGGAGATTGTACATTGAATGAAGGGGTATTTATTATTATCAGTTCTTATTTGTTTATTGTGTCCTTGAAATGGTATTTTTCATTGAATTTAAATTGATCATTTTACCATTAAACTTCTCCTAACCATTCCAATTATAATGCCTTAATATAACCATACATTTAGCTGGGGAAAATGAACTGAGAAGAATAAGGTTAAGTTGGAGATTCTGTTTAATTCTACTGAAAATATTGTATTTTTCAAAATTCTTAACTCTAGGTTCAACTTTTCTTTTTGGGAGCAATCTTCTCTCTAGATTCATACCAACATGGATGGGCATTAGTTTCCACAACTGGCCAATCAGATTATAATCCTTGAATAAACAATGATTTATAGCCTAGAAGGGAAAAAGTACAGAAAAATTAGCAAAATACTTCCAAAAAAGGTATATGCAGTCCTTCATTAATTTACTTTAAAGTATTTCATACACTGCATATTCTTGATAACATATTCCAGTGTGGTGCTTTTGAGTTAGCTATCATGTTTTGGAAAATTGTTGACAGTAGTTTTGCTTCTGCAAGAAGAATCACAGGATCACAGTTGAAAGATGTTATTTAATTCATCTTTATAGTCCTGCTTGGTCCTTGTGTCTAAATGATTCCCCTCTCTGGCATCGAACAATTGCATCCACTTTTAAGCATTAATTGAACCTGTGTGGTAGCTTTTTAAATGTCTGATTTGCTGTATTTATTGAATATTTGGCTTTGTGAGGTTCTCCTTTTTTCATATTTTTTTATTTCTGGTTATGGCTTTTCCTTTTCTACTTAGAGAAGACCCTTTAACATTTCTTATAAAGCTGGTTTAATTGTGATAAAGTCCTTTCTCTTTTTTTGCTTGTCAAGAAAACTCTTTATCATTCAATTCTGAATGATAACCTTACTGGGTAAACTCTTCTAGGTTGTAGGTTCCTTTCTTTCAGGCTTTAACAATGTCCTGCCACTCCCTTCTAGCCTATAAAGTTGCTCATGAAAAATCAGCTGATACCTATATAGGGTTTCCTTTTATGTGACTCATTTTTCTCTTGCCTTCCTCAGATTGTCTCTTTATTTTTAACTGTTGTCATTTAGCTACAATATGTCTCGGTGTGGGTCTCTTTGGATTTATCTTGTTTGGGACTTTCTGTGCAAAAAACTAAAATATACAGTATTTGCAAATTTTCACCAATATTAAATAAATAATCCAATCCTAGGGAAGGCAAGTAATTCAATTAGAGAAATAGTTTTCAACTACATATATTCCCAGCAAATATATCAGGATGCAGTCCACTCAATATCACATGCTTCTTTATGGTTAAGGTTGTATTCATATACACATTTGAAATTGTTTAGACTGATTCACTGTCCTAGAGAATTGACACTTCTGAGTCAATTCTCTAGGACAGTGTTTCCCAAACTTTTGACATATGTGTACTCCTTCTATAATTTTCATAACACTAAGTACCCCTCGTACTCATGAGAACATAGAATTAGGTGCACCTAAGCACAGTGCAGTGCATATCCCCACCAAACTCCGGTGCAATGCGTACCCCCACCAAACTCTTCCTGTACCCCTGGAGGTACACGTACCACACTTTGGGAAACACTGCTCTAGGAAATTAATAAACTATAATTAAAGTCCTTGAATAGATCATAACTTTTCTGAGAAAAAAAAAGTTGTCTTTTCTAGTTACTGCTTCTATACGGCCTCTTTCTATGTTAGAATGTCATCTCTGCCAATCATGTGTTTGGAATCAATATTACCCAGACTTGTCTTTAATCAATAATACAGAATATTGTCACTTAAGTTCACTTCACAGGATTCAATCATGAGCTAGCTGCAATCCAACACTTATATATAATTAGCTTTAAATAATTGAAGATATTGGATCTTACCAAATAGTAACTTATGTACTTTCGAATAGGACATAGCAGAACTGGAAAAGCTCGATGGTCTCTCTTCTCTCAGAGAGCTTACAATTTATGGCAATCCAGTGAGTATGTTGTTTTTCTAATTTACTGGTTAATTTACTTATAGTTATATATAATTTATTTTAGATAAAGTGAGGAAGGATTAATTTTGTTTGTTTTATGTATTCACAGAGTTTTCCAAGCACAATTCATTGACTAGTGTCTTCTTTCATCTATATTTCAGTCCCAATATAAACTTTCATTGTCATATATATATGAGGGTCAGTTTTAGGGTTCTACATTATATTCGTTGGCCTATTTGCCAATTTCTTTATACCAATATTACCCTGTCTTCATTACTAAAGTTTTTTTAAGTCTTGATCTCTGATAGAGTAAGCACCTCTCTTTCTATTCTACCTTCTGTTTTTCTTTCTTCACTGTCTTGGCCCTTTACTCTTTCTATGAGTTTTAGCAAACAGCTTCTTAAGTTATATGAGAATCTTAGATATTTTAATTAGAATTACATCAAATTTAAATTAATTTTGGAAGAAATTGCCACTTTTCCTGTTGGAGTCATTGAAGGCACCCTTTCCAATCCGGGACTCCTTGAGGGATGTCCCTCAAGGGATGCCCTTGGGGAATGTCTGACTGGCAGTCAGATATCCCTCTCACAATCCTAGACTGCTGGCTCCTAATTGCTCACCTGTCTGCCTGCCTGGTAGACCCTAACTGCCTCCCACTGCCGGCCAGGTCACCCCCAATTTCTCCCTCCCTGCCAGCCTGGTTGCTCCTAACTGCCCCACCCTGCCATCCTGGTCACCTCCAATTGCCCCCCTCTGCCTGCCTGACTGTCCCTAACTGTTCCCCCCTACTAGCCTGGTCACTTCCAACTGCCCCCCTGCTGGCCTAGTTGCTCCTCACTGCCCCTTCTGCCAGTCTAATCACCCCTAAGTTCTCCCAGGCCAGCCTGGTCATTCCCAACTGCAACCCCCCACCCCCCGCCTGCCTAGTTGCCCCAACTTTCTCTCCCATTGGCCTGGTCACCTCTTCCTGACTCCCCTGCTGACCTGGTCACCCCTCATGGCACCCCCTGCTACCAGCCTGATCACCCCACACAGCCTGCTTGTTCAGTCATTTGGTCATCCCTCACTAATCCCCTCTGCTGGCCTGGTCATAGGCAGCCATCTTGTGATGGTGTGAGGGTCAATTTGCATATTATTTCTTTATTATATAGGATCCTATTCTTGAGGTGGGATTGTCTGGAATTAATGAATAATATTATATACTAGAGGCCTGATGCACAAAATTAGTGCAAAGAGCTCAGCCCTCACAGACCCGGCTTCATCCAGAAGGACATCCAGAAGGTTGTTCAGCTATCTAGTCCAATTAGCATATTATACTTTTATTATTATAGATGTACTCTAAAAAAGAGACTAAACCTCCAAATGGTAGCCTTAGTTAGAAAAAATAAAAGTTCTAACTTTCATTTAGCATAACAGGGAATTGAGAAATCTTTCCAAAAAAGAGCTCATATGTGTATCACCTACCTCTTTGTTGTCCATGCTAGACTTACTTCTCTATAAAAGTTAACATTTGAAATAAAAGATTTTCTTAGGAAATAAATTATTTTTCTTTTTAATCAGATTTCTAGAAAAATAGTACATCGCCATGTGCTTATATTTCGACTACCTAACTTACAGATGTTAGATGGAATTCCTGTGAATTCAGAGGATAGGGCGAAAGCTGAATTTCACTTCTCTGAACTACAAGCAAAGAAAAATTCGGTAATAATTATATTACTTATACTTTTTCTTTTAAATATATACATTATTAGTAAATAAATATTCTATCTTGTGTATTTTTACTTAAATATTTAAACCTAGGCCATCATGTTTTTGTAGATTATTTAGTATCTTTTCAGTGATTACTATCAAAGGCTTGATCTGGTGAATAAACACACACACCCACACAACACACACACACACACAACACACACAAGCCAGGAGAGCTCTTTTTTCTAATAACATACTTTGACATAAAGCTAATTATTTAAAACTAGAGGCCCATTGTATGAAGAGATTCATGCAATAGGCCTTCCTTCCCTTGGTTTCTAGTACCGGTTTTCCTCCAACACCTGGGACCTAGGCCTTCACTCCAGCCGGAGTCTGTTGCCTTTGCTGCAGACTCCAGCCAGAGTCTGCCATCTTCATCTTCACTGAAAACTCCGGAGTCTGCAGTCTTCCACTTTGCTGCAGCCAAAGTGCCACTCCTGTAGATACCTTCACCCCCTTCCCTCCCTCTCATAGCAAGTGCCTGGAGTAGCTGGGCAGCCATCATATTTCTTCTTCTAATTTGCATATTCCCTTCTGATTGGCTTCTGGACATAGCAGAGTGATGGTTAATTGCATGTTTCTCTTTTATTAGTGTAGATGTGTGCCTCTTTCTCAATATGTCTGATAATGCTCTAAGGTAAGAAACTACAACATATCCTATATAATAAAACCCTAAGATGCAAATCAACCGAATGTCAGAATGACCGGTTGCTATGACATGCACTGACCACCAGGGGGCAGACACTCAATGCAGGAGCTTCCCCCTGGTGATCAGTGTACTCCCACAAGGGAAGCACTGCTCAGCCAGAAGCTGGGCTCATGGTTGGCGAATGCAGTGGCATTGGCCGGAGCCTCTCCTGCCTCCACTGCAGGCAGGTGGTAAGGAGCAAGGGGTCCAGGACTTAGAGAGGGCACAGGCCTGGCTGAGGGCACACTCCCCCCCCCCCCCCATCAAATTTCATGCACCAGGCCTCTAGTCACTTTTATAAACAGAAACTAGCAAAACCTCTTGTACTTAGCAGATAGGCAGGGAAGGAAGGAATTCTAACCACAACTCTCTGGACTATAGTTCATCTAACAAGATAGATGTGTATCTTTCTTTCTGTATATTGGCAAGATAATTGGGCTTTTACCCATGAACCCTAAAAAGGTATTCTTTCCTAAAAATGATAGAAAAGAAATTAGAAGAGAGAAGCCACCAAAGCATATCATAAGGAAATTCTATCATTAACCATCCTCCAAAGACTAAATTTAACACAGAAAAGCTATGAGATATATATATATATATATATATATATATATATAATTTAAGAAGCAGCATGATTAAAGCAATGCTTTTGCAAGTATTTAGGAAGAAGAGTCTAGAGACAGGGAAACCAGTTAAATGGCTTTTAAAATAATCCAATAAGGAGATTATGAAGACCTGGACTGTTAGTATCTTGGTGGGAGAGGGGCAGTGAGAAGGTAAGTGAACCTTTAATGTAAGTGAAAGCCAGAGAGCATAGACCTTAGCAAACAAAGATTACTTCTAAGAGCTATGCTGAGGAAAGAGATATGACTTACTGTAGATGCTTTCACTTAGAATATCCGACTCTCTCCATTCCCTCTGTAAAACAAACTAAGTCTCAGAAAAAACTGAATGTGCTATACTGCTCTCCAGTCCATTTCAGCTTTCAGTAATAGATTCACAGATTTTTCAAGAGTTGGCTATGTGTGTTTTCAAATTTAATGTTCTCTTATTTTAAATAAGCAGATACACTATAAATGCAAATTTTAAATTATTATTTCTCTGTTTCTATTAAAACCAAACAGGATACTTTAGAAGGTCAACCAAGCTCTCGCTCTCTCCCTCCCTCTCTCTCTCTCTCCCTCCCTCTCTCTCTCTCCCTCCTTCTCTCTCTCTCTCTCTCCCTCCCTCTCTCTCTCTCCCTCCCTCTCTCTCTCTCTCTCTCTCTCTCTCTCTCTCTCTCTCTCACACACACACACACACACACACACACACACACACACACACAAAATGTCAAATTAGATTAGGAGGGGAAATGCAAAATAGAGAAAATGATAGATTCAGACAAGAGATGTGGGAAAATTCTTTTTTAAATCTAGACAGATTCTTGTTTTCAAATTTTCTCCAGATGTCTTTTAAATTCTTGCTACTTTAAAGAAACCAAAATTAGACATTTTAGGCAAAATCTTACATGTGATTTATCCACAAGCAATCAGATAAAATACCAATCAAGGGACTCTTGCTTATAGAGAAGACCTTGGATCTTCATCAAAATATTGCTGAGTGCATGTAGTTTACACTTTACAATTTTGAAAGAGAAATATGAATTATATATATATATATATAATTCTTAATTACTCCCTAACACTTTTATTAACCTTGACTTTTTTAATTAACCAAGAAGATTCTATTATAGGTCAAAGTAACTACGGAGGCCTGTGAAACTTAAGGTGTACAATGTTAATAAAGATTAGCTAGATTAAGTCAAGGAAACTGGTTCATTTGTGGGTTATATCTCAAAAAATGTTTTCTAAAAACTATGTATGGTAAAAAAAATCTTAATTACTAATCTGTATGATATGTATAAGAAAGAGACCTATCTAATGTCATCTACTGAAATTACTGTCACAGGTTCCAGGCTTTCAAAGGACAACAAATAATCAAATAAAATTTAGTTCAGTGATTTAAGCCTCCTTTCCCTTTCTCTATTTCATATTTTTGGAACAAGTCACTACTTGCTTCCAGGAGTGTAAAACTTTGGATTCCTGTTCTTGCTATAACAAATTACCTTAGATTTAGTGTCTTGAAACAACTCAGTCATTTTACCTTACAGTTCTGAAGGTCAAAAGTCCAAAAAAAGTCAGTCTTACTGAGCTAAAATCAAAAGTATTGGCAGGGCTGCATTCTTTCTAGAAGCTCTGGGAGAGTATTTGTTCATTGTCTTTTCAAACTTTTAGAGGCTCATGGCCCTCTTCCAACAATGGCATCACTTTGACCTCTGATTCCATCATTAAATTACATCTTCTTTCACTCTGACCCTCCTGCCTCCCTTTTATAAGGACCAAATACAGTCTTATAATTGTATTGAGCCTACCTAGATAAACCAGGATAATCTACCCTTTTCAAAATCCTTAATTTAATTATGTCTAAAAAGTCCTTTTTACCCTGTAAGGTATTGTAGTCACAGATTTTGGAGATTAGGGTGTGGACATTTTTTGGGGGGATGGATTTTCTGCCTACCAAACCACATATGTGGAGGGTTTCCAGTAAGAGACCTATAATAATCATCACATTAAAATTTATAAATTCTATTTCAAGGTAATTTTGACCGAATTTGAAAAATTACATATAATTACACATAAATTCACTAAATTACATATAATGATATTACTTGGCATAACTTTAAAGATCATTAATTTCCATATATATTATTAATTAACTTAATATAGCAGAAAAATTACATAAACTCAAATTTGAGTCAATGATTATTTCACTAAAGGGTTTACATGTTGCCTATTTTTTGTTTCTCGTATAGTGAACTCATTTTCCCATTACTATGCTATGATGTTGTCTTGAGTGATTCTAGATACCTATTCTTGCATTTGAATCAGAGCCATATATAAAAATTAAGTTCTTATATATATCAACTTATTCTATAAGTAAACATTTAATTTTTAAAAATTTATCAACACATGGTCAGTAATATAAACGGGATGTTTGATGTCTTTATTCTAGGGAAACCTATTTTAAGATTCAATTTTTTTTTCGTGGCTAGAACAAAATTGAGGCATTATTTCTTTTAGTTGTTTAGGAGACAGAATACTTTTGAAGTTTATTAGTTATCTTTATATATTTTTGTTGTTGAAGATGCTGCTGTTCTTTCTTTTTTTAGCAGCAAATAAAGAAGGAATAAATGAAATATAAAATTGTCCTTTAAACCAACACATTTTTGGTGGTTTGGTTTCAGAAGAAAATTTGACAACATTCTAGATTAGTAATGGGAGAGAGCCCCAGAAAGGAATTAGTTTAGGGAATTTGGGACTCACCAGCTTTAGTAAAAGCCCTGATGTCTTAGTATTCATTACAAAGCTGCATTCTTAACAACACTCACTGAAATATGAAGGAAATAGGTTATTTTATACAAATGCAAAAGCCTATGTCTCTAAATAAATTATCATATATGTATTCAGAATTTACATTTTTAAAAGTATAAACAGTATCAGTCTTAATGAAGACACAGCAAGCACAAATTTCTAGGGAAACTAAGAGTCTCCCTCCTCTATTTACTGACTAGAGGCCCAGTGCATGAAATTTGTGCATTGGGGGGGGGGGGGGGGGGAGGAGGTCCCCCGAGCCCGGCCTGCCCCTCTCCAATCCGGGACCCCGTGGGGAACGTCCAACTACTGGTTTAGGTCCGAGCCCAGGGATTGGGCTTAAACCTGCAGTCAGACATCCCTCTCACAATCCTGGACCACTGGCTCCTGATTGCTTATCTGGCTGCTTGCCTAGTGACCCCTAACCCCCCCCACCCCCCGCCCCCAATGGACTGATCACCCCTCACTGCCTCTGCATGCCAGACTGATTGCCCCTTACTGCTCCCCCACCCCGATGGCCTGTTTGCCCCTAACTGTCCCCCGCTGCCAGCCAGGTTACCTCCAACTGCCCCTCCCTGCTGGCCTGGTTGCCCCTAGCTACCCCCCAACCACCAGCATGGTCGCCTCTTACTGCACCCCCTGCCAACCTGGTCACCCCCAACTTCCTCCTCTGTCGGCCTGGTCGCCCCCAACTCCCCCCCTGCTGGCCTGGTTGCCCCCAACTGTCCCCCTTCCTTCCCCATGATGCTGGCCTGGTTGCCCCACACAGCCTGCTGTTCAGTCGTTTGGTAGTCCCTCGCTAACCCCCCTGCCAGGCTGCTCGTAGGCAGCCATCTTGTGAGGGTCAATTTGCATATTACCTCTATTTTATAGGATTCCGAAATACTTTAAAAAGCCCCTTAATCCTCAACTAACTTAAAAGGTAAACACTATTTAGAGAGGGAGCATAATCATTACAAGTGGTTGTTATAAGATGCTTTTCTTAGTCCTCATTTTGTTGTTTTTTAAAAACTAATTCACTGCAAGGCTTCTGATGAGATATTGTGAGGATATGAAGATGCAGAAAATACAACTTATACCATCCAGAAGTTTCTGTTCAGATAAAAAAAAAATTACAAAGGGAAAAGCCTTAATTTTTATTTTCTTAATTCTACATTTTCCTTATGAAGATCTTTTGGAAAGTGGTCAGTGCATCACATTGGATTCTAGCGATGAATACAATGCATCTGAAAAGACAGAACAGAGTGTTCTGTGGGAAGTTAAGACCCAAAGACTCTTAACAGATTTTGCCTCTTACTAACTGTGAGTTTAGACAAGTATATAAGTCATAACCTAAAATAAATAAATAAATAAATAAATAAATAAATAAATAAATAAATAAATTTTTAAAAAGTATTATCAAGTGGGGCTGTGGTAGAACTAAACCTATTGACTTGAGTGTTGGAGGTGAGGGTTCTTAATTGTTTTTATTTTATTACATAGTTTATTCCTGTTGCCAACGCTCCTATGGATGGTGGACCATTTGGCCAAGTGAAAGCTTCTCCCATAAAGATAACAAATATAATTCTGCCTGGTGGATTTAGCCATTACTTGGGATCTGACTTCACTTTAACTCCTGAAGTTGAAGGTATTTTGACAGAGTTTCAAAGTGAATATTCAACAAACAAACAAATAACAAAACCCACATCATTTGAAACAAAATTCTAATTTCGATTACTCTTTAAAATTGCATGTTTTAAATTTGCATTTTAAACTTGCATGTTTCATCTGGCCACTCTGATTTCAAAGAAGTCTGTAGTATTTTTTGGTTTTGCTCAACTATTAATATGCTGTAACTAAACATTTGCTTGCAATTCGAACATTGTAATGCTTGCACAATTATTTCCTGATATTTCTTTTCAAAGTTTTTATTTCATTTTGTATATTTTATAGCAAATGACAACTAAAACCAGTTCATTAGACATCCTGCTAAAAGTAGAAAATAGAGGTTTAAAAATATTGAGAATAAGACTCGTGTGGTTTGAAAGATATCTTAGAAATAAAAGATCAGACTTTATCCTTGAAACCATAAACCAAATATTCATGGAGACAATACTAGTGTAGAATTTTAAGAGGTAGAGTTCTAAAGGAGAAAATATGCTACAAGGACAGGGCATGGAAATGGTTCATTCTACTATGTACATTTTAATTCAGGCTTAGGTCAGACCTTTCCCCTAATTCCAGATCTTCACTGACAACTATTTGGTGAAAGTGGGATTAGCTACTCCTCTGAGGGGCTCATCTCTTAATTGCTTTTATTTTTTTTTAAAGATATATTTTATTGATTGTTTACAGAGAGGAAGGGATAGGAAGAGAGAGTTAGAAACATTGATGACAAAGAAACATCAGCTGCCTCCTGCACACCTCCTACTTGGGAGGTGCCCACAACCAAGGTACATTCCCTTGACTGGAATCAAACTTGGGACCCTTGCATCCACAGGCCAATGCTCTATCCACTGAGCCAAACCAGTTAGGACTCTTCATTGTTTTTAATATTCCACATTGCTCAGGCCACTGTTGGACAATAAAACTGAACATCACAATAACTGTAAAAAGATCTAAGAGTCTACTAAGAATAACAGATTGTTCTATGAAATTATTTTTAAAGAAAATTCAGTTAAAAGAAACCCAACATAATTTACTCTGTTAAGATATTATTTTTAATTTATTTTTCATACTTCTACATACCTATGGTTTCAAGGTTTTAATCATAATCAGAATGTTTATGCTTTTATCCAGTAAACAGAGCTACCTGTAAAGCTGGATGTACCAAATTACTAGGCTCCTTAACATGATAATGCCATCTTCAGGAAAGTCATCCTATATAATAAAAGGCTAATATGCAAATTGACCGAATGGCAGAATGACCCCCCCGAGTGTACAGATTTCAAGCACTGGGTCTCTAGTCAATATATATGGCATTAGTTCAACCCTGGATTCATCTCCATAACTTTCTTCTCAAGTACTTTTCTTCAAGTTTCATTGTGCAACTATTTTTTAGGATTTTCTGGAAAGAGCCTATTTCTTATATTCTACTAGGGGCTCAGTGCATGAATTTGTGCACCTTGAAAGGAACCGTGGGCTGAGAGGTTGCAGTGGGCACAGGGTTGGGTCTCATCCCATCCTCCATACCCCTGCCTGGCCCCTCCTGCCATGGCCCCCATTCCCCTAACTGCTGTCAGCCCAATTCCCACTGCCACCGCTCCACACACTGATTGTGCCAGCCCCACTCACACTTGCTGACAACACAGAGCAATTGGTCCTAGCGCCAGCAATGGGTGCAAACAGGGCTAGTGCTGTCAGTGGGGATGAGCGGTGGCTGCTGCCCTGAAGCCCCTCAGGAGCAGGGGGAGGTGGAGAAGCCCTCGGGGACGATCAGGGCTGGCAGCCATTGCTCACAGCTGCTGATGGTGCCGAGCAATTGGTATTGGTGCCAGATACCAGCAGCGGGTACAAGTGGCAGCTCCAGCACCAGCTAGGAATGCCAACAGGGACGGTGCTGGCAGCAGATACAAGCAAAGAATTTTCAGTAACCACCAGAGGCTCGCCCCAATGACAGTGACTTGTGCCCTGCCTTGGTAAGGTGTCCCCTCTCACCTGCTCCACCATCCCACCATGGCCAACACCTGCCATGTTCCATGTACACCCCCTGGTGGTCAGTGCATGTCATAGTGACCAGTTGTTCAGTTGTTGGGCTGTTTGGTCTATTTGCATATTAGCCTTTTATAATATAGGATGCTTCGTCAGTTTTTATTTTGAGAATTATGGTCACTTTATCTATACATCTATTATAGTACACAGCTCTTGATATTTATATTCTTAAAAATTACCTAAAGAGGCAGATTGAAGAGGATAAATGGGATGAATGGTGATGGAAGGAGACTAGACATTGGATAGTTAATACATAATGCAATGTGCAGGTGAGGTACTGTAGAACTTATAGCCTATATATTTTATTGATCAATGTAACCCCAATAAATTCAACTTTAAAAAGCTGAAAAGGATCAATTTGTTTCACTAGCTCAGAGAATTAAGCAGTATTAAGTGCTAAAAATATATTACAATTCTATATTTATTTAAAAATTTAATTCATTTTATGAAGTATGTGTCGTATACATTCAGCTGAAGGACAAATTTTTATCATTTATTTTATTACTTAATGTATCTATTGTTTCATAACTCCTAATTTCAGACAAAAAAAACAAGAGTGCAGGAATTCTGACAAATAATCCTCGGAGCATCCATGCAGAAATAGCTTTTCGGCAACTCAGAGGAATAAATCTCTCTCCATCTCTTTTATCACATCAGAATACGACATCTCCAACTGCACAAATGTACCAAAGCAACCAAGATGAGGGAAGGTAAAGCTATTCTGTGCTTTAATATAACTCCTCATCATTAAAAAAAACTTTCTTAAATCTACAAATTGTGTATAAAAATAGGAAATATTGTTATATACTATTGCATATTCATTCTGAGAACTGAGAAAAACTATTACATAGCATAGACTTCTTATTCCACATTCACCAAATCTTTCCTGAAGTCCAGTATATTTGCAACATAATTCAAAAAGGCTTAGTTAGAATGGCTATCAAGGTAGAAGAGTGCTCACCTAGTACTTATGTGAGGGAAAATTGAAATAATTACATGGGAACTACTTTTAATTATATTCTCTCTCAAGTCACTTCTACTCACTGAATATGCAAAGCAGTTCACTTATGTTTTAAACAATAATTCCAACACTCTGAAATCACAACGAATTTTGTAAATTCTTCAAATCTCTCCTTATCCTATTTGCCCTACCTTCCTTCTGGACTCTAGCCCTAGAGGCCAGCTCAATGCCCAAGAGTCTGCTACGTCTCATTAAGAACTCACTCTGCTGCTCAAAATCTGTTTGCCTTCATTTCCAATAGTTACCTGTCACCAGCCTCTAGGTCATCTATTACAGGGACATACTCATACTCAGCAGCAGATCTAGCTTAGGCCTTGCTCTTGCTATACTGACTTCCCTGCTGTAATCAGCCATGTCCCATTGAGTCCTAAGGATAAGCCAATTTTTAGATAGCCAAAAATTAGGATCATTTTCTCTTTTGTATCTTTTTGAACTTTACACATATAAAATACAGAAATTACTTACTGCAGAATTATCTTAACTGATCCATTAAGAAATTGTCACCATTATTTGACTCAAATATTTTATTTCTGACAGAATTCCTGGCAGACACTTCACAAGAACAAATAGAATGGCACTACCTAAAGAGAAATGAACATACACCAAGAAATCTCTTTCTGTTTAGTAGTTGTGCTAAAACTAGCAGACAATGGGGGGAAGGGGGAGAGATAATCATGTTACTTATGTTACTAAAGCATTTCAGTTTCATATGAAGGTAATCTTTGTCACCCTGAGTGAATTTCACTTACTAACTTTTTAAAAATATTTTTATTGATTTCAGAGAGGTAGGGAGAAGGAGAGAGAAATAGAAACATCAGTGAGAGAGAATCATGGCTCGGCTGCCTCCTGCGCACCTCCTACTGAGGATCCAGCCCAACCGTGGGCATGTGCCCTGACAGAGAATCAAACCATCACTTCCTGGTTAATGGGTCGATGTTCAACCACTGAGCCACACTGGCTCTCTCTTAAACTTTCTTTATGGTTATCTTAATTATTCATTAAATTTCTATATTAGAAAAAAATTATTAATTATTATATCATACAACAATTTAAAAAGATACAAGTGACATAAAAGTCCAAAGGCTCAAATATTTAATCCTTGAATTAGAAACGTTTAGTTTTCAAATTTCATTGTGGCCTATCATATGAAGATACTAAGAAATGTAATTTTAGGAAATAAGCATACTTTCATTTGTAAAATGTCTGTTCATTTGGAGTTAACTTAAACTAAAGCATACAGTTCTTACCAAATACAATTATTACTAAAGCAAGTTGAGTTTAACTAGTTGAATCACAGATTAGTATGTTTAGGACTATTCTTGGAAAAAAAATCCTCAAACTGGGTTTGTTCTAAGAATTATTTAGAGGCAAACCTGGACATCAATAGCTAGCGCTTCCTGAAGGTGGCTAATTGTGAGTTCAATCAGTCATTCATGTTCTAAGAATAACAGTGTTATTTCATAATTTGTTAATTGCCTATAGTGTTATAATTTTACAAACAGTTTTAGGCTAAAAAGAACATGTTCACACTGAATAGACATTTAAAATTTGGACCCTTAGTAATTATATTTCACTGGATATAATTTTCTAAAATATCACATTGCATAGTGTTAGCACATATTACAAATCAAATATGATGTTTAATGTGCTTTTTTGTTAAATACAGTTCTTCAAATTAATTAATGAATAAATTACCAATCAGATTTTAATATAAATGAGCTCCATGATTCAGACCTATTCTCTTTAAATTTTTCAAATATTGGTCAACATTGCATATAGTTTTCATACTATTTTATGTTATTTACATGAAAATAAATTAATTTTACTAAAATATTTGTATTTTTGATTATTTCTGGAAATAGTTTTAAAGGTATTTTGGAAATGAATTTCAATGTGTATGCAACAACTTTGTATCTTTTCTTCTTTAAAGACTGTATGTTTGTAATTAAATCATGTAATATTTAAAATTTCAAACCCAATACAAATTGATTTTACACTTCTTAATGTGTGGTTTTTAAAAAAATATTATTCTTAGATAGAAATAAGATCCTTTGTTTAAAAAACAACTGTGCAGTTCTTAAGATGTCCAGAAGATGTCTTTGTTGCCCTTTAGTTTTGACAATTGCCTACATTACTGTGTAGTAATAAGGGTCTGCTGTTCACTATTTATTACTAACTAGACATCATCTGTCTTTTTTTTTCTTTTATGATAATGTATAAATGAAATACCAAATATATTTCACTTTTATAATAAAATGTATTTTTTAAAATAATCTGGGTGAGACAAATAAATGTAACAGGTTTTCACTAGAAAAAACTTTACAAGAATAGAAAAGTACAAGGAAGAAAAAAAACAACTCATTATCCAGCATCCACTTAACATTTGACATTTTAAAACTATTTTTCCTATTAATTTATAACATATTTCAGATCTATAATTTCATTCTTATGTACACATTATTAAATTTTGAGATATTTCAAACATTTTACTTTTATTTATTTTTAAATATATATATTTTATTGATTTTTTTACAGAGGAAGAGAGAGAGATAGAGAGTTAGAAACATTGATGAGAGAAGAATCATCGATCAGCTGCCTCTTGCACACTCCCCTACTGGGGACGTGCCCACAACCAAGGTACATGCCTTCAACTGGAATCGAACCCAGGACTCTTCAGTCCGCAGACTGATGCTCTATCCACTGAGCCAAACCAGCTTCGGCTTATTTAAAACATTTTAAAACACATCTGAATTTCTCCTTAAAGATAAATTAATTTGAAATATATAATTTGATAGTCATTCTAAGAATAATAATAAACATGTATTTAAGTATTGTTAGGTACAGAAAATAGACACAACCCCAACCTTAAAAATATTTTAATATAAATGTACAATAAATAATTTATGTGGAATAATTTACTAATATAAATATATAAAATAATTTATAAGGAGTGATTACTAACAATTTAGCATAGTCATTCTGATGGCAGATGATATTGACATAATATACAACATACTCCTCTGGGAATACCTAGATAGGTTTAGCCATTGGTTATGTATAGTTCATAAAACAATAGCTATAACTTCACCCTTTCTTATTCAACAAAACCAATGAAAATATACTTGATATGAGGGATGCTTTGTAGAAGTGACTTTAGATTTGCTCTAAATTGTTTAAGTAAGTCCCAGACTAAAATTTTTAGTTATAGTATAAATTATCTTGTAACACACTTCACAACTCATTGCAACAAAATAGACAGATAGTGCTTTAAATCTAGAAACCACTAGTCCATGTTTTAACATGGCTTATTCCAATAACAACTATATGAAGTAGAAATGAAATATCTCTTTATAAACTAGAGGCTCAGTGCACAAATTTGTGCACAGGTGGGGTATAGCTGCCCCCTCCCCCCCATCCCCTGGTTGAACTCCCTAACTCCCAGTCGAGGGAACAATTTACATATTAGCCTTTTATTATATAGGATTCATTTTAAAAGGAAAAGAGAGGATATCACACCAAATCCTAGATTTTTTTCAATTCTAAATACATTGGTTTTCAGTTACTACAAGTAAATTGACATTTGATTCTTACTAATGTGCCATTAAACAGCTGTTATAAAGCCCTAATGTATGTAAAAACTGCAAACAATTCACTTTCTTCTGGTGTATTTAGGGAAAATTTCTACAGTAAAATTAGTATTTTATTCCCAATAAATATTTTGATAGATTTCTTTTGCATGCAGTCATATACATGATTATTTGACTTGCTCTAAATTCAAGGATAATTTCATAAACAACATGGAAAGCTAAAAAATTAGGGCACTTTAACTATAGATTAGGAGCTTACTATGCAGATTTGAATATAGATGATGACAGAGTAATCTTCTGATTTTAATATATGAAGGACTATAATTAATTGTTCAATATGAGCTTTATTTAATTCTATTTTTATAGTTCTGGATTTCTCTATTGATACAAAATCAACTATGGTTGTGAACAGATTTTTGTGAGTGCTTGCAGGCACTCATGACTAGTTTTAAATTAGTCCTTATATTTAAGAAACATGTCATTTCACTGCTTATTCAAAAGTATCATACTTTATGAGAAGTGTTTAATGTTTTAAAACATTAGATCTTCCTGTTACTCATGCTGTAGTGCTTAATTACCTTCCCTGTTCCTCTCTGCACTTTTCTCCATTATTGAAATATTTTTAAAGAAAACCTATATGGAATTGCAATTTTAGTTTGCTGACAGCCAGAAGCACACAGTTATTTTATTAATAATATATTATTTCTATAACTTTTTAATCTTATAAATATATGAATTATACTATTCTATTCTTACTCCTTTTTTTCATTTGTGAATAAAATTGTTTTGTAGACATTTCTCAGATTTAATTTGTACATTTTTATTTTAAAATTTTGTTTTGATAATTGTTTTTCCTTCTAATTAAAATAAAATGAATGACTTTTTGGCAAAAACATGAAATGCTATAACCTGGAAATGCTACAGTCAAAGGACCGTAGAAAGTAGTAGTTTTGAAAATGTTAATTACCTGAAATAAAATTATTTACTGTTTATGTTCTATTTATTAGGCCTTACCTTAACTATATTCTCTTTTAGGTAAAACAAAAAGGCCAATTCATTAACATCATTATTTTCCATATAAGATATCTGTGCTTCTGAAATGCTAATTTAAATATTAGAATAGATTTTTCCTTATATTATATCATTAAAAATAAACGTATTTCTATATGCTCTGTATAAAAGCCCATTGGGATAATATAGTTTGGTAACTTCTTTGAATTAACAACATTTTGATCAAACATTAAAAAAATGTGCAATGCTTTTACAAATAATATTCTACATTTACATCTGGTTTTTAATATTATAATTCTAATTAACTTCCAATTTGTTTAAAAATCTTTTATACCAGCAGAGTTACATTATTAAACATTACAAATAAGAGAAAAGGTTAGTGATGACCTTAACTATTTTTGTAAACTAATTATAGTTTATGGTTATATAAACCATTTATGGTTATATTTATTTTTAAATAACAGTTCTTATGTAGAAAAAAAATAAGGTCATGTGGTTTAAAAGGTATAGATCTGTATATCATGCTTATAGTAAAACATTATATTTTTTTAGAAAATGTTTCAGATAATTTTAGTATTTTGGCTCTATTTGTTCCATTTTTAATTGTAACATAATGCCACTCCTCAACCCACCTTCCCCCCAAATGTTTTATAAGTATGTTTCTCAAGAACAAGAAAATAAGACTAATCTGTAAAAATATATCAATAACATTTTTAAGTTTCCAATTATTTATTATTACTATCAATTTGACTGAAAACAGATATTTACAAACAATGGTAGCCTCCTTTTTTATGGCCTTTCATTTTTTATGAAGTGCTTTAAAGAGTCCAATCAACCTTAATGGTGCATTTTTAGTTAAGGAAATAGAATGGGGAGAAGTCAATTTGAGCTCCCAGACAAACAAGTGTCTCAGAAAGAATAGGCATAAATGGATTTAGAAAACAGAGAAAGTACAAGTAAAATGCAGTGAGCAGAGCACTCAAGGAAGCCAGATACAATGAAAAGAGTAAAATACTGCAGAGCTTTTTAAGCTACA